AAAGAACAATCTTTATATTGTTAGTACGCCAATACTTCACCATAGCCCGTAAGCATTTTGTAAATATATAGGGTGCTGTAGACAAACCAGACGGAAGAACTGTAAAACAATAATAATTATCTTTCCACTGAAAACCCAAAAATGTTTGGCACTCCATACAAATATCTTTATGGCGGTAACCTGATTTCAGGTCAAACTCAATACAGAAGAAATTTTTCTCGAAATATTGTAAAGCCACTTTATAATCTTCAAACTTGATTTTTTCCTTTTTCAAGTATGAATTTAAAACACTGAGCTCTAAAATCAAACGCTTCTTTTCTCTGTTTTCTGCGACGCTCAATGGGCTCACTACAAATGGTCTGAATGGTACCTGTATACATGTAACACAACCTGATTGAATGCTATCTGAAACAAAGGAAAAATTCTGAAGAGCAGATTTGTTATTCTTCAAATGAATTCTAGGTGGATTAGCTGCAAAAGGAATATTATATCCAGTTTTTACAATTCTCAAAATATCATCAAAAGCACCTATCTTTTCCCCAATCAATGTGCAAACTATTTTTCACTCCTGTATTAGACTCATTTGAATCTTGTATTAATAAAAATTTGCAATGTTCAATCATTATCTCATTATCAGTTATCTGATCAAACATATCTACAGATAGCTATAGTATATACTTATCATCAATTTGACTTAGTATTGGATCCTGCACTGCTGGTGTATTGACTGTTAAGGGAACATCCTGTTTTCTAATGCCCAGTCTGGAAGCACTTGTAGCAAAAGTCGCTGGGCTGTGGTGTCCGTCTGCTACTGAAGAGAAAGGGCTGCTGAATAAATTTGCTGGTGCCGGCTTGTTGGACTGTGTTTGCCTGTCGCAATGCGAGTGCGGCAAGCTGAGCAGCAGAACCAGCAGCAGCAGAAGGGACGGGCCTGCCATAAGGTTGGAAACGAGGCTTTTTACTCAATCTATTGTTTCTGAGGGCTCTGTTCTCCGCGCTCCTAATCTTTTTCTCGTCATCCGAGTCGTCGGCAATATCATTACATTGGTACTCTTGTACTGTCTTCCATCCTGCTGGGGAACCGTCTGCGATCCTGATATACTTTTGCTTGGTTTTAAGTTTTTCATTGATTCGTTTAACAACTTCGTCATTATGGGTAGATAAATCTTTGAGTTTATCAAGTTCCTCTAACAATTCTTCATTAAACGAATACTGAATCTTGTTTCCTTCGTATTTTAATTCCCAGCTATGTTGTCCTTGAGCTTCTTAGAAAGTTTCTGAGCTGACGATTTACTGTTTTCCTGCAGATTTTCAGATAATTGTTGAGATTGGGTGGATATAGCTGCAGACAATAATTTAACTGCGTCTGTCAATGCGAAGAAATTGGACGTGGACTTAACTTAGGAATCCCTCCCGTTGTCTCGACAGTCATTTATATTTAAAGTTTTCAATTCGAATACCTGTTCAGGTATGTTCAGTCATGCGGTTCAATAGATCCGGTTTTCAAGAGTATAGTGAGTTAAAGTCAGTTTAGGACGACACGTTGAGCTGTTAACACGGTTAAAATTGAATGGATAAAACTTATATTTACATTTTGTATCTTAAAGGTACTTGGACACAGATTTGAAGTTCATATTTTCTGTGTAATATCACGAATTATATATTTTAATAGCATTTCACACAAAAATTAATTAAAAATCTCATTTCATTTAAAAGTTATTAAAACTTGTAATTTTTTGGCGGGTTTGATTGACACATTCTTGCACTTTCACAAATTTTAATTTTACTCTTAATCCTTGGGAAAAGTGGCGTTCTTGTTGTGTATTTATGAGAAATATTAAAACTTTTATCCAGAAAAATAATTTTATTCACAGTAGAAATGTTAGAAAGCAAAACTCCTTCACAAGTATCGTCATTCCGCTGTGTACAGAGTTTTGCAAATCGAGCACACTCGTGTTATGTACACAGTTTTAGTAAACAAGGCAAGAGCCTGTTATTGTTTGGTGTTTACGATTCACTTGATGCGTTCAATCGTCACAGTCTGCTTACCACAACTGCACGGACTGACAATATTTTGTGTGTTTGTTTTGCTTTCGAACATGTCTACTCTGAATTTTCTTGATTATAGTATTAATATTTTTCATTAATACACAACAAGGTTGCCACTTTTCCTACGGATTAAGAATAAAGTTAAAATTTGTGAATGTGGAAGGATGTGTCAATCAAACCCGCCAAAAAATTACAAGTTTTAATAACTTTTAAATGAAATAAGATTTTTAGTTAATTTTTTGTGAAATGCTATTAAAATATATAAGTCGTAATATTATAGAGAAAAAATGAACTTCAAATCTGTGTTCAAGTACCTTTAATAATATTTGTATTAATATATTTAAGCTGCTGCGTGTCGTTGCTAGTCCATTAAATGTACGTGTTGTGTTATTTATCAAAAGTACTGTTTGGTATCAGAAATGAATGGGTTTTAAAGGAGAAAGCGTGCGTGCTTCAATGGAATACCTGTAGAACAGGTATGCTATAAATACATTAACCAATCCGGTCGATTATCTATTTTAAACAACACTAGGTAAACACGTGTACGATAGATACACGTATTGTGAGACCTTCAATAAATACATTTTTTTTGTATATCAATAGCCAATCAAGGCCATATAGATTACATGGCGTGCCAATGCTTCTTCTTCTTCTTGGAAACTAAAATTGTTGTCATGACCCAGTTTTGCATTGAGTGGAACTTTCTCTTTTCTCTCTGTTCTGGCACATAAATTACCTTAGAGGTTTTATGTACAGACATTCCCCCTGAAACAACAGCATCATGGCCTTTGTGAAGATTTCCCTAGTCATACTGATATCTTTTCCTCTGAAAATATTAAAATTAAAACTTAAAGCAAAATGCTCAAACCACTGCGTCAGACGGGCAAAATTTAAAATGTCATCAAATAATTCAAAACAATCGTTATAAAAATTATATAGATGGAATGTTGAACATAAAGTTAATTATCTATACTTATAAATTAATAAATTTTGCAAAAAAAACTCCGAAAAGGATGCACAAGAGTTCTTACTTACTCCTCAAATCCTATACTACATACAAGATAATGTTCGTAAACTATATTATGATTTCACTCGGATAGCAAGTATCGTACATAAAATTAAAAGTCTACTTCAATTTTCTAAAAACAGCCATAAAATAGCATCAACGTGAGTATGGTGGTTCAGGTTGTCGGATCTAAGCTACTGACACATTTTAATGAAAATGACAACAAACAATCGTATTTATTTCATGAAATGTCATCACTGAACTATTCAATCAAAACTTGATTTAAATGATATAAAAGAAATAAGCTGTGGTAACGGATTAAAAAGCAAAAAGTGCAAATTATTTTCGTCATTCAACGATCTCAATATTGACAGAAGCTTTAGAACATCATGTCCCTTTTGCTACATTGTTTTAATCAGGAAATAATTTGTAAATAATGGGGTATTTGATTAAATAGTTTTACAACAAATGATGTAAGATAAAATAAAATACAATAAAAACGATAGTTTGGGAAAAACGAGCAAAGTATGCTTCGAAATTATTAAAAACATTGTTCCCGGGAAAGCCACGAATATTTATTAATACGAGGATTATATAAGTAGACAAATGGCAATAGATCATTGCATATCATAGGTATTTAAAATAGATACATGGCATTTTGACAGCGAGGAATGTCAAAAGTTGCTGACGAGTTAATGATAAGTGTAAATATTATAACAACAGGAAATATTTACATATATCGAAAGACTATAATATATATGTAGTACATGTATGTTTTTCTTATGAGTTTATCGGTAAAAATTGTATTTTCCTTACTGAGAGCAGTATAAAGAAAAAAGAGAAAACTTACGAATAAGGTATTGTTCAATTACAATTAAAGCTGTAAAGTTTTGTGCTGTAATAAAGACAATTCATTTTTTTTTCCTCTAAAACAACGAAGTCCTCTGTTTATCAATTACTCGACCTATTCACTGGGGGTGGGGGGGGGGGTGCAAAAGCTAATTTTTACACGGGTACATGTGTTTTGGGTTGTGAATATGTACATGTATGTACGTTATTGGAACATGTATGAAAAAAAAAAAACCTTTTTACCTATCGATAAGAGTACTTATATAATTATATATAATTATATATAATTTTTACCCCTCCCCCAACCCCCAAAAATCAATTTATTTGTAAATTGTGTATATTTGCTGCTTTTATCCTTCATGGAAGTGAAATAACATCTGAAGTGCTATATCCATAACATTGTATGAGATTTCACATAAACGTCAATTTACTTTTCAAGTTTTCACAAAAAGTGGGTGGGGATGGTGACGTACATCCACTTCTTGCAAGATTTTGAACATAATTATTTCTTCCCTTTATAAGTCTGCAATCTGTCAGTAAAATTTACAATTTACAACTACAATATATTTAATTTTCTGTTGTAAATAGTAACTATATACTGTCTACATATGAATTCAATTTCGCGGGTGTTTATCTGTAGTGTTACCTTAAATATATAGGGGGGAGAGACAGAGAAAGATAATTTCTATTTTAAAAGCTACAAAAATCAAAAAATAGATAAAACAGACGCAGTATATTGTTATTTTAACTGACGTTTGCAGCTAAACACAGATATACATCAATTGATCACAAAAAGCACAATAAACCTCAGACCCTTGATCGATATTTTGTCTATTATCATTCAGTAACAGCCGGTATTGGCTTAATCCTCCTTCAAAGCCACAAAAAATCCCCTGTAACGATGACACAGGTAAGAAAAAACATGTTCTTTATCATTTATTATGAATTATTCACGAAATCTAAGTTTCTGCTTATTTTAAAAACATTTATCAAGTTTTACCCCTCTTCTCTGACTGTATTAACATAAAATTAGATGAAAAGATAGTGCAAGAACAGTGATCGATCTACAAAAAAGCATTTTCGTCACTTAGCTTATGAACAGAGCATAAAGTACGGAGCTCGAAAATTCTAGGTGGGATTATCATCAGGTACCTAGGGGAGAAAGCATCTATGTTGACTGGTCACAATTCCACTGTGTCCTATGTATTTATCAGGTAGGCAGAACATTTCGTAGTAAAAATAAAACAAAGGCAAAATAATATGACAATCGTCAGCAAAAAACAAACCAGTGAGAGGTAACATACATGTATATATGTTAGCAAGTACATAAAAATTCAAGGTTCAGATTGAAAAATCATATTTTTTTCTCATGAAATTCGTATTCTTCTACAGAGTATATCAACAGATTTGTTTGTAGTATATGGTACATTTAACAATTCTAATCAACCAATATTGGCACTGTAGTTTTTGTTTTACTGACTGAATGCAATTTCGTATGTTGGAATTTTTACCTTATAGTACGATTATGTTATGTTAATCTTAATATTACACACTCCTGTGTTTTAGTAAGCCTGTGATATCAATGGACCATGCGGATATACAGTGAGGGATATGTAGATGATGATTTCCATATGTAAGTTTTCCTTGAATAAAAAAAACATTTCAGCAAAATAAACAAACTATTAAGCCATTTCAACAACATAAAATTATATCGAAATCTTCAGAAAAACGTATAAAATATCCAGAGTTCTTAAAAATTACATGTACCAAATTATACAGTAGGAATTTGCTTGGAACAGTTAAAGCCGCTTGATCCGAAACAGGCACATATTATCTTACACAATAAAACTACGTCATTACATAGATAAGATATAAAAATAAATTATAAGATTGATTTTATAGTTATTACAACAATCCTTACGTGAAAACCATAGATCAAAAACCTTATTGACAAACAGAAGTTCCTGACAGGAAGTTAAGATCTGTTGTGAAGTCACCTTTGAAAAATAATAAACTTATCGCTTTTATCTTATTATGAAGATAATTCAAACCCGACTATATTTTTCCATAAGTAAAAGTCTAAGTCATGGAATGTATAATTCATAGTAATTTTTATATCAATATGCATATTTAAACAATAAAGGAAAATCAGATATTTTTCAAAGTAATGAAGGCTAAACAATTGTCCGTGTACAGGTAAAAGTACTTTGTTGTGAAAAAAAATGCTCGGGTTCATTGTTCATGAGATATACATGTAAGCGATAAATTGAATTTTTCGAAGGGGATTTCACGTGATATCAACATAAGATTATTTTTTGTGTGACCTAACAAAAATTATTTTTTTAACTTTTGAATTTTGATATCTTTTAAAAGAAAAAGACTTTGGGGATATAATTTCACAAAAGGTGAAACAATTTATGGACAATTATTTTTCCAGAAGAAAAACGAATATATTTTTTAGCGATTAGAATCGGACCAAGCGGCTTTAAAGTCAGTATATGTAAATAGATGTACTGTTTAAACTTTGAAGCTAATAAACTTGTGCCTTAAAACATTTTTTTTCTACATTTACATTTTTTTTTTCAAAAAGGGATTCTTTCTACGGATACCTGATGACGGTGGTGGGAATTCTAGCATTTGTTTTATTATTCTACGTGTTATTCAAACTCTGCACCTCTGACGAAGACGAAAAGTCGCAACAAAAACCACTTAGTGTTTACCCTCTGACCCCAGTGTTTGCGCATGAGCTGACCCCGGGAATTATTGTACTACAGAGTGCGGATGGAGAATATTTTAGAATTTTACATGAATATAGTTCTACGAATGACGTGAATCAGGCCAATCAAAACAAACCTATGATGACGTCATCAAGTACAGGAATCTCCCGTTCTGGAGTTTTAGAGAATGCGCAAACTCAAACAAGACCCTCGGCACCGGAACCAGTTGATGATTTGCTCATGAATATTCATGAGCCTGTAACAATTCAACCGCCTCCATACTCACCCTGGAGAACTGAGAATTAATTGTTTGGGAATTCTTGAGAACTCTTACTTTTTTCGGGAAAACTTAAAAAAAAAATGACAGCATATACTTTATCCGTTTTTGGTAAGATATCTTTGCTTGTGTTAACTATAACTTTGTCATCATTTGTATATAAAGGATACTCTCAGCATTTGCTTGCTTACAAGGTAAAAAAAATAGATATCTTTTTATTTCTTCGTAATCAAAGATTCGGGGACATATAGCTCTGCCCTTTTCATTTAGCAGTACGAATATGTGTCAGCAAAATCTTAAACCTTTTCCATAACTTGACCTTTTAGCGTGTTATCTACTTTTGGGAAAAAATACATCCTTTAGATTTCACTTTAATTTTTAGTGCACAGGATTCATTTAACAGATGTTTTCTCGTGACTTTTTTTCGCATTTCAGAAACTCTTACCTTCGACGTAAGATGCTTCACAGGGTCATTAGTGTTTAATTACATGTAACACAACTTTGTTTCCATTTTTGGAAATTGTTACGTATTTAACTTAAAACAAAGGAGAACAAACCATTTCTTCGTTTCGAAGACTATCTGTAGATGACATTAAGATTGCACTGTTATACCTTTAAAATTTGTTCCTATACAAATCTTTACAAAAAATCTAACATTTCAAATGTTTTGCTAAGCGGGCTTAAAAAAAAATCGGTGTTTGACCACCGAGTGAGATGTTGGACCGCTTACGTCACAGAATTGGCGGAGCTTAATCTTATTTTTATTCTTTGATGTTCAGCATAGGCCTCGGAACCGGGGGGGGGGGGGGGGGGGGGGGCTAGGGGGGCTTACCCCACTGTCAAAGACAGACATACTAGTAATATAGGCATTGAAAATGGGAGTTTGCCTTTTTTATTAGTTTACCACCACCCCCCCCCCTTCCTCTTTATATTTGCTTCTGAAGCCTATGTTCAGCAGTGATGTACCTGAGGTTATTTCACGGAAGACAGTACAAAATACATGTATGTAAAATAAAAAATGTTCTCCGACCCTCAGGTCCCAAATATTGAAAGTGTAAATTTTAAAACAAATGTCATTTTATTTGTTCATACTATTGATTTGAATAATAAATGAAACATTTATTTGTATTGTTTCAATTTGTTTATCGAAGATAATACATTGCCACTCATAAACATGTAGGTTTATATATGGAAACAGAAGTGTCTTAAAGGTTTTGGTAGTTTATATTCAGTATAGTATGGCTACACCGTTTTGTTGCACATTTATTAGGTATAACAAACTTGCAAGATCATACTGTCTCTCTTTTTCACACTTCGCTAAATCTAGTGAATGGCACTCAAAACATCCTTGTTTTAGATGTTCTGCCAAAACTGCAAACTCTAGGATCCTTCGCCCATCAAAGTTGGTGTATGTAATCAAGATAATTCTTTACTTTCCTCGGTCTCACCTGGATCCAGATCTTTATCAGTACAACTTTCATCATGTTCGTAGGTCTTAGTTTCATTGTTCTAGAGTCGCGAAGTAAGGAGTCAATCCTTACGTCGCGGGTTCGTATCCCACTGTGGGACGTGGAGACCGGTCCTTCGGATGATACCGTATAAACCGAGGTCCCTTGTCCCAGTATGTGCTCGCACGAAAAAGATCCCCCATGCCCAATGGCCCTGAGTGCCAAGCATAGAACAAAATTTGCAGCTCTCCACTGGCAAGTGGTGGCGTTTCTATATGAGTGAAAAATTCTTGAGAGAGACATTAAACAATATATAATCAATCAATCAATCATTGTTGTTCACGTCAGTACTGTACTGGTATTTACGCAAGGGCCACAAAAAAACTGCTGGTCCCTTTTTAGAAACGACCTTCCTTGTTTCTTAACCTAGGATTTCTACCCATATTGTTCATTGTTTATTTGTAACATTCGTAATATATTATCCTTTCACAAAAGATTTCCGAGAATTATGAATACCGGTTTTTATGGTATAAATTATTTCAGAATATGAGAACGAGTTATCTCGCCTTGCTGAGGATCAAAGACCGCAAAAAAAGGTATAACAATGCATTAATTGACTGTGTTCTCGGGCAACATACGTTTAATCGACCCTCCAACCAAACTGACTGCCTTCGGCCTAACGCCCTCAGGCAGACAGTTTGGAACTTGGGTGCGATAAAACGCATGTTGCCCTCGAACTCAGTCAATAAATGTATAGTGTTTTGATTTCATTTTCATGTCACACATACATGTTTCATAAAGAAAATGTATCGATTAGAGCTACAAGAATCAAAATACAGGGATTTAATGTATATGTTATTTAACCAATTTTTAAAATTCTCACAAATATATATGTATGAACAACATTGAAGGAGAAACTTCGAAGTACTTTGTAACAATATATTCAAGAATGGTGTTAATTAGATTCGGATACTTAAAAATTCCAATGAATTTGTTGAAATTCTGTAATCACAAAATTTAACCATAAACTATAACATAAAAACTTGTGAATTTGAACTCTACATACATTCTGATTTTCTTCATCAAGGTATACATTTTCATTAAATACATCCTTTGGTCTTGTTAGATGATGCCATAGTTCACTATTAACTTTCTAAATCCCAGTAGCCCTTTTCACAAAAAATCTTAATTTTTTGCTTACGATTTTAACTTACGAATCTCTTACGACAAATCTTAAGTGCTTTTCACGAACGCATTCGTAGCAGATTGAACTTAAGATTTTACTTACGACAGACTTTGTCCTTAGCAACAATCTCAATATGCTTTATAATCCTTAAATTAGTAGATAATAATAAAAATATAGCTCAGTTTTCATCATTTATCAGCAAAAACAAACGTTACTGACAACAAATAACGAGTGCAAGGGCCCACTCGATTGGGACCCTTCTTATTCCGGAATAATCATTCTGTCCGCTCGATTTGTTCGGAAGGTTAGACTAAGAAGGCCTTCCCAGCCTCCCGCGTTAGAGAGGGAAGGTTTATTTAGACAACGCATTCCGGTATGGCGGCAAACAGGTGGGTGAAAACTCTAAAAACTTTTTTTTATTGTAAATAAACCAAATTAGAAGCAAAATAAAGTTGCCAAAAGTATTTGTGATAATGTTTGAAGGATACTTTCTCTTAAGTGGCATTTTGTTTCTGTTGTGTAGTAACAACCAAGAAGCATTGGGAACAAACACAGTATCATTCACAACGGACGATGGAAAAAATGTTCTTTTACAACTGGATGATAAGACTCTTGAGAACCTTCAGAATAATGGTAAATATTGTGTCCATCATTAAAATCAAGTTAGAAGAACTTTTCTATCCGTTTAAAAATGTCTAATTATATTAATTTCTTTTATGTTTATAATGTGAATGCGGTTTTTGTTTTTAGATCCCAATACAATTGAGTTCGTATTAAATTTAGTAGCAGAACAGGAACAAGAAGAATCCGAGGAAAACGAAATTGGTATGTTGTAGATATATTATATAATATGTAAATATAATAGGTACAAAACAATGAAAATTAACATTTTTTTAAAAACCTTTTTTAAATGTAATTTAATATCATAAAAATAAATATTTATTTGATCATAATTACAATCAATTTCAAATATGGATAAAATATAGGCCATGCCGCCAAGGAAGTAGCGTTTTATTACTAAATTTCATATGCTAAACAATGACAACTTACATGTATTCCTCTTAATCTGTGAAATAAGTTCTCCAGTGTTGTTATAATACTACTGGTATATATGATTGAGCACTACTGAATTATGTGTTGCTAAGTTTCTCTAATTTTCTTCAATTTTGTAGAGGATCCAAAACCTAGTGGAGAGGCTATCACTCCAACTAATTCCTGGACCAAAGAGAGATCAAAAGTTCTTCTACATGAATATAGAGAGAGATATTTGCAATTCAATAGCCCAATATGGAACGCCATAGCTGCCTTAAGGTATGGTACATTATGTTACATGGTGTGTTCTATATAATAAAGGGTTGAATTAATATAATAAATGGTCTCCACTCCTTGTTAAAGGGTAAAGCGCACATAATACATGGTGTATTTAATATAATAAAGGGTCGGTTCTTTATGTTAAATGGTCACCACTCCTTGTTTTACGGTGAAAGATACATAATAAATAGTGTGTATAATATAATAAAGGGTCTGTTTACTATGTTAAATGATCACCTCTTCTTATTATACTGTGAAGGATTCAAAATAAATGGTGCATTCAATATAATACAGAGTTGGTTTAATGTGTTCAATGGTCGACGCTACTTGTTGTAGGGTGAAGTATACGAATTAAATGGTGCATTCGATATAATAACGGGTCGGTTTAATATGTTAAATGGTCGCCGCTACTTGTTATAGGGTGAAGTATACAAATTAAATGGTGCATTCGATATAACAACGTGTCGGTTTGATATAACAACGGGTCGGTTTGATATGTTAAATGGTCGCCGCTACTTGTTATAGGGTGAAGTATACAAATTAAATGGTGCATTCGATATAACAATGGGTCGGTTTGATATAACAACGGGTCGGTTTGATATGTTAAATGGTCGCCGCTACTTGTTATAGGGTGAAGTATACAAATTAAATGGTGCATTCGATATAACAACGGGTCGGTTTGATATAACAACGGGTCGGTTTGATATGTTAAATGGTCGCCGCTACTTGTTATAGGGTGAAGTATACAAATTAAATGGTGCATTCGATATAACAACGGGTCGGTTTGATATAACAACGGGTCGGTTTGATATGTTAAATGGTCGCTGCTACTTGTTATAGGGTGAAGTATACAAATTAAATGGTGCATTCGATATAATAACGGGTCGGTTAAATATAACAACGGGTCGGTTTGATATGTTAAATGGTCGACTACTCGTATACTGAGTGTCTGATAAATATTATATTGTCCTTAATTTATGTTAAATGGTTAACTTATAGGATTAGACTCCGTGAAAGAAATATTAATCGGTGTTTATTCCACGCTGTGAAGTGATTATTAAAGAATATCGAGTAATACCGAGAAAATAAATGGTTCAGAAAATAAAGCAGCAGCCGTTCGGAATCTCTCAAATTGAAGGACGCGGGAAACCGAACTCCTCGACACTGTCTTACTTTGAACATGTTGAAATATGGACGCGATACTAAGAGAGATTGGGCTAGGGACTCTATCAGAAAAATTCAAATCCGAAAGAATTGATGTCCCTATGATAGCTTCTCTCTCCGATGGAGATTTAATCCGCCTTGGCGTTGCAACAATTGGAGACAGACATCGAATCAGGAGACTTTCGGAGGCTTCTCTAAAACAGGTGAGGTAGCCTATTTTTAAAACACTTAAAAAAAATGTTGGCCCGTCTTAGACAGGGCGTATTATATCATAGAATAAATGTCAGTCTGTTTGTCTGTTAGCTTTTCTCGTGTCCGGCTCACAACTTGAATAGGCAGAGCATTATCAAACGCTGTCAGTTGCGGATCCAGATTTTTTTTCGGGGATGGGGTGGGGTGGTCCACCCTAGTCCAAAAAAAAAAAAAAAGCGTTCGCAGGGGCCTGGGGGGGGGAGCGGACGTGTCTAGTGAGGCGCTCTTTTTCCGATCGGTATTTGGCCGATTAATTAACTTGTTGGCTGTGTTACTATGATGTCTCTATGTTGATATGTCCTAGCTTTTTGAAATATAGATAGTTTTCAGTAGACCCAAATTAACAAAATTTCCCTTCGGCCGGCATATTATTGTGGCCCAACATGCTCATATTCCTTAATAATTCAACCAACTTTACTTTTTTATACTGGCTATTGTGGTCTTGGAAGCATCTTTATTCTGACAATTATACAGCCTCCTTTATTTCATAATGTTTATTCCATAACGATTTTTCCGTAAATATTTCTGCTACACCCACTTATATTTGGTAGGACAAAGAGGGAAAATTACCTGGTTAATTAATTGTTATCATTATCATGATCGATCTAAAGAATGAGACTGTGTGAAAGTCAGTAAGAGTCCGTGAGTGAAAGTAGTCAAAAAAAAAAACCTCATAAATTGTTTATATTATATAATTTTATGCACATTGTGATATTGGGCAATATAATTTAAAAAAATTCAACCCAGAAATTTCTTGACAAGGTAGAAAAAACAAAACAAACAAAAACCCCCTAAACTCGCACAAACATCAAAAACCTATTTCGTGGGAAGGGGGGGGCATAGTTTCCAACTCACCAGATTTCGTCGGGTCTCACCCGATTTTCAACCTGTAACCCAATTATTTTTTATGACCCGGCGGGTCATGCTTATCACCCGATTTTTGCCGAACAACCCGAAAACTCCAGATTTCCGGATTTGGTTAGTAAATTAGGTTGCACTTTTAACTTCCAGTTACAACCCAAGCTTAGATCTACGTAAACAATGCCTATGGTCGGATGGATTAAGAACCCTCCCTCTACACTGCACATGAAAGAGTTGTGATTGTAAGGTATTTTTCTGCAATTCGAGTGATCTGCCCCTAGATCTAAATCATAAAAAAAAGAATTTTACAATACATTACCCAATTTGTAAATAATCCAAGGATTCATAACATTTTAAAAGGCCAAGATAAATTAACTAAACATTTTATTTACATGTATTTTCTCTATTGAAGTAATTAATAGTGATTTCTTTTCAAATTCACTGATACTGTGTTGTCTTTGAACATTTTTCCCGGGGGTAAATGCCAGGCACAAAACAGTGATAATTGAATAAATAAGCTCAATATTAACTCCTTTACATGCTTTATACGATATATTTTACTCAATGTCCCAAAAAAAATTGCACTTGTGTAGAGAGGGTCCTTAATTATCTGTGCAAGTGTAAACAATTAACTGGGTGTTGTTTTGACAACAAATGAATGTTAGAAGTCAATTAAAATGGCCTCCAATAGAACTAGATCATTAATATCAGGACCAACAGGAACAAATTGAACCAAACACATATATGTCTCTGATTGAACCAAGAACAAGAGAAACGAATCAAGGAATCTTGGGGAAAAAAACTTTCATTCTAGAGAAAATAAAGTGATCAAAGAGAGTGTATGCCTAACTTCAAATTTAAAACATGTTGCAGTAGTTAATTAATTAAGAGAAAGGAAAAACAACTTCAAAACTGAAATGGGTATACTTTCAAATTTAGCAGAAACTGAAAGGCTTTTTAAAAAAAATGCACTTTCGGGGCAATACTGAAATATGAAACCTTCAATTTTCATTTTTCACATGTAAATTAAAGCAAATTATGTATGAATTTTTTGTCATTGAAAATTAAATCCTTTTTCAATAAATTAATTCTAAATACACAAATACTTGGTATATATGTATAAAATTTAATCATGGTAAATATGTCGTGAATGTCGTTAAGCATTATGACCAGATTTTTACTTTCCAAATCTGGTCATGACCAAGTCTATTTACATGCTGGAGGTTGGCAAGTATGAGCGGGGGGGGGGGGGGGAGGGGGTGTTATTTGGTGACTTCTGTTGCCTCAAATCTCTTAATTCACTTTTAATACCCATTTCACAAAATTCGTGTCTACAAGGAGGGTCTGTGTTTTCCAAGGTGGGTTCAAGATGACTTTTCTCTTGCTTTAGTATACACATTTTTTAACCTTGCAAATTCCAGGGGGTCCTGACCCCCAACCCCCCCTCTCTAGATCCGCGCATGTTTGTCAGCTGATATTTCTTGGGTAGAAGGTGTTTCGCTCTGAAGGTCATCTTCGCTAGCCAAGGATTTCCTATCCTAAATCTATAGTAGCTTTCGGATCGGAAACCAGTAGCTTGACTAGCGAAGATGACCTTTTAGGCTAATATTAAGATGTAATTGCCAAATATAGAAAAAATCCTGTCTTTCTCATAAGTTGAAAACTAGTAGACTTACATGTATGTAATTAAAAAAAGTTTTGAATTGAAAAATATATTTACTAGGCCAGCTGGCCACTATTTGTAAAATTATTTCCCCACATATGCAAGTTAAATCACTCAATTAACTCAAATGAGGTAAATTCTCAAGAAATGCAGGAGCAGAAATGAACTGTGTGTATTTTTCATTGTTTTCAAGGTATGAAGAGACCCACAAATTTATATCCATCACAAAATGCAATTACTGTATACAGGGAAATTTTCGCCCCCGTTTTATTTTCGTTTAAGCTTGTAGAAAAAGTTCGCCCCTTTCGCCCTCTTCCTGATTGGGTGAATTTAAAATGGTGCGAATTCAAATTACACAGCATTATTTCTTAAACAAAAGTATTAGAACGAGGTGAAATAGTTCGCAAGTGCAAAAGGGCGAAAATAAACATGATAAAACGGGGTGAAAATAACCCTGTATACAGTAGTCAGATAAATTACTACTGAAGTGAATAGATCATCAACCAACCATGAAATTTAACCCCTCAAAAATGCGTATTTAGATTATAAGCAATTATATATATATTCAGCATGAAACTTTGCATTCAGGTAGTGTACAGTATCGTTGTGTAAATTATTTATCTGAATTAGATTTATTAGCTCACCTAGCTGAGCCAAAGGCTCAATTGAGCTTTTCTGATCAACATATGTCTGTTGTCTGTCACTGGTATTGTCGTCGTCATTGTAAACTTTTCATATTTTCATCTTCTGAAGAACCACTGGGCCAATTTTGACCAAACTTGGCACAGAGTATTCTTGGGTGAAGGAGATTCAAATTTGTTTCAATGAAGGCCACACCCTCTTGTAAGGGGAGATAATTATGGATTTGTGAAAAATTTATTGCATCTTATTAACACTCTGAAAAAAATCTCAATTAAGAACCACTGGGCCATGAAAAATAAAACTCATGTGGAAGTAACTTCAGGTAGTGTAGATTCAAGTTTCTACAAATCATGACCACCAGGGTTAGGTTGGGGGCACAAAGTGGGGAATCAAAGTATAACAGATAGGAATACATGGGGAAGTTAAAAATCTTCTCAAGAACAGCAAAGCAATGATCAAGATGTTTGGTCATAGTTATATTGAAGCATCCTCTAGTGGTGTAGATTCAAGTTCGTTCAAATCATGACGGCAGAGGATAGGGTGGGGGCACAATGGCGGATCAAAGGTTAAATAGGAACACATAGGAAAAATCTTTCAAATTCTTTACAAGAGCAAAACATTTGACTAGAGGAGCCAGCCATTAACATGGATCACATTTATACAAAGAAATGTAAAGGCTATATATCAATAAACATTTGCATCCCAGTAAGCTGTAAAGCCATTATGTGTAATTTTAATCCTTAGAAAGTGTAGATTTAAGTTTGTTTAAATACAACCCACCCCCATCACCCAAATAATATTAAATTATATTTAATAAAAACTTTTCAATAGTGAACTGATTTTTGCATTTACCTTACCAAAGTGCTCAGGTGAGCAATGTGGCCCCTTGGCCTCTTTTCATGTGTAAATACTGTAATGGTAAACTTATATTTGCAGGCAAATCAAACCACAGAGAACAGGGAAGGCGAGCAACATGCATCTACTGGTCGTCCTTCCTCGGCAAGAGAAATTCTGTTGGAAAGATCCAGATTATTTGGCTATGCAAGGGGTACCAGTAATAAACAAAAGGGTAGGGGGAAAAGAAAGTCAGTGCGTGGTGTCACACATAATTTCATTTGCTTGGCGGACAAAGAACAAAAATGTGTCCCAACAACAAGTGAAAAAGAAGTTCTGAATAATGCAGGTCTAGGGAGGAAAAAAATAAAACTAAACAGAGATGATGATGAACAAACTGTGATTGAAAAGATAATGTCATCAGAAATGAATACAGACACTAATGAAACTGTTGGATTTCCAGAACTTAGGGAAGCAGGGGGATTTGAACTCCTCAGAAGTAGTCAAAATTGTAGAGACCTCAAAATTATAGATTGTGACTGGAATGCTAAGGAGCTGCAAAAAAATGTCAATACACAGTCAACTATATATATAAGACCCATTCAGAAAAATCTGCCAACAAAAAATAAAAAATTGAATCAAGAGCCAAGTAATGCAGTGAAAGCTGTATGTGAACGTTGCAAAGTTGAATATCCTATTATGCAATTGAGAGAGCATGTTGATATTTGCTATGGAGAATTAGAAGAAATACTTCCTTCTTTAACTGAAGCTGAATCAGTATATGTTGATGCAGCAATAACACAGACATCACCAATACCGGTAAATGAACTGGACTTCATTGAAATAAGTCACACTTCAAGTAATGTTGTACCTGTATCACAAGTGGATGCACCGCCATTAAGTGAATCACATGTCATGGTCATTGAACCTATCCAAGAAGTTGAAGTACATGTACCAGTTATCTCAACAGAGCATACCATATCAGATACTATAAACCAAATAGTTACCTTCTGCAAGCTGAATAATATAACAGACCCTGTTGAGATTTTGAAAAAGTTACAACATGAAATATTAAGAGGAAGACCACTGGATATAGAAGATGTCACTCAGGCCAATGAGGGCGAAACCAGTTACATTATGGTCGACAGAAATCAGCTATTGGAGACAGCTTTTGATGAAATTCGTGCTATTCCCCCATCCAATCTCAGTCTTACTCTGGAGGTGCAATTCTACAATGAGGTACAGTATTTTTAAAGACAAGCCTGCAATAAATAAAATGCAAATAATTATAACAGAAAACCTCTCCATCTATTATATATTCCAGAATTCTTACAGCTTTTGCAACATTTCACCTTACTCAAGGCATTTTATCAATAATTTCTTTCAAGAAAATTATACTTCGTTGGACCTGATATATTTCATTCAATATCTGTGGGCTTGCTTCTCTCATTGAAAAGCACCTGTCCAATCAAATTAAAGCTTCATAAATATTTAGATATTAAGGATGCACTTGACACTGGAAATGTATGTGTAACAAGTTGTTTATGATAAAATGGTTTAATGTGATTGGTTGAAAGCTAAGAAAAACAATCAAGACTTGTAATTTTTTTTTCAAAAATGTGGCTACAGTCACCTCATGAATATGGAATGAAATTTGCTAGGGGTCAAACGGCAACATGTTGACTCAGGAACCCTGGATTATGAGAATATTATCAATCAATAAGAAGTAGTTCCTCATTTTATCCAAATATATTTAAAATGGATGTTGATTATTGCATTATGATCTTATCTAAAACATACGTGGTAAATAGCAGAATATTTTCAATTTGACAGGTTGCAGCAGATTATGGAGGCCCTCGGAAAGAGTTTTTTAGGCTCATCCTGATAGAAATTCAGCAGAAATACTTTGAACATGGCCTTAGAGTTGTGCTCGCAAAGGAATATGAAACTGTTGGCAAAATTTTTGGTGAGCTTTTTATCTAATGGAATCAAAGTTAAATTTTGGTACAAATCAATGATGTATGTTGAATAATAACTGATTTATTCACAAAACTGGAAAAGTCATCTGTACAAAAAAAAATTTACTGGTATAATACCATATATGCTACCAGGTATATATAGAAAAAATACAAACCCTTTTCCATATCAAATCCTTTATCACCCTGAGACAGGAATATCAGCCAGAGTATGTAATAAAAGATGATAATACATGTACAAACTGTCTCATAACACCTAAAGCTGGACCTTTTAGTAGTTTACATCTTAATTCCTATACATGTATTTTGACCATAATAATCTAAAGAACAGCATGACTTGAAAAGCAGGGCTTAGGTGACTCAGATTAGCATAGTGGCCCATGGGCCTTGAATTTTTTTTTTATAGAAACATAACTTATGTTCCAAAGTTTTCTAAGGATCAAAACTGAAATTTTTTTTCCATCATTTCCAGCACTAAGCATTTTACAAAATGGAAAAATCCCTAGAATGATGTCTGAAGACATTCTCAGAGAACTGTTTGCAGATTCAACAGAACCCTCCAACCCATGTATATCTGAACTGAGGAAAGGGCTTAACTCGCTGGGAATATATGAGGTGTTTACCATTCAATATTATACTGAATACGTGATATATGAAAAATCTTTAAAATATTTGAAATAGTAACAAAAGCAAGTGCTGGAGAATTTCTTGTAATATTTTCTGTTAGCGATATAGAAAATCTAATAATGAAAACTAGAAAAAAGTCCATAAGACATTAATGCCCTGTCGAAGGTATATTACATGTAGTAATGCAACATGAAAATTTGTATTAGTGAATGAAATTTCATCAGAATATATTGGAATAATGATGTAGTTGAATTGCTTACATCAGTATGTGTGATGATGTATCAGCATATGAAGTTTGACACTAATTTCAGAAAAGTGAGGCCAAGGTCAAAGGAGAGACCTAGGTCAAAAAATGTTGTTGCATTTGAAAAGCTTTCATCAGTATGTATCATGAAGTTGAAAAAAATGTTATGGTTTCTTTAAAACTTACTAATGAACACAATTTTATAAAAATGCAGTCAAGGTCAAATGAAAAGTCAAGGTAAAAAATATTGATGCAGTTTAATTGCTTACATCAATGTGTATCAACATATGAATTTTGATAAAAGTATCTTGAATGATTTCTTTAAAACACTTTTGACTTAAGTCTGTGCTCAGTTTATGGTCTTGGGGCATGGATGATCATAGCACATTCCATTTTGAGAGCAAACGTGAGGATCTTGAACATTTTCAAAAATAGTCCTGTTTTTTGCAGCTATGCAGGCAGATGCCGAGTTTTGTATTTCTATTCCATCCCACGACTGTTACTTTAACGTTTCGGCGAATTACAACTCTGTTAAGAGCAGAATTTGACACAGAGGGTACAAACAAGAACGCACTTGAAAGGAATGCCTACTCGGCATTCCTGAGATACCTCAGAGAAGTTGCCAGTGAGTTTTTACATTTAAATTTAAGTTTTATATGGAAAAAAGGCTGTCATATTCATCTTTACCTCTGGACATCAAGCAGTCAAACTGATGGCATGATTGTTTATAGTGAAAATGCATTAATTCTTTGAAAAATCTCCTTTGCACATGGGTATTGAGGAGATAAACTACCTTCATATCTAGGATAAGCAATGGTTATTTGTGCAGACTTGTGAATTTCAAAGCTTTTTCAGGGATACAGTATGGGGTTCTGGTGTTAGGATGGGGCGCTTATTATATACTATAAATAAATTAATGCCTTGAAATCTGCTCTTGGGTTTTAATCAAACATTTATGATAAGCAAGGGAACCTTTTCTAAAATTGCAAAATATGTGCTGCTCCAGGGTAAGAGGTTCCTGTGGGGTCAGGGCACTACTTATTATTGCTGAATATAACTGATTAGTTCAAATCTGTTTTTAGCTCACCTGATCTGAAAGCACAAGTGAGTTTGAGCTTTTCTGATCACATTTTGTCTGGCGTCCATCTGTCTGTAAACTTTTCACATTTTCGACTAAATCTCTAAAACCACTGGGCCAATTTCAACCAAATTTGGCACAAAGTATCCTTGGATGAAGGGGATTCAAGTTTGTTCAAATGAAGGGGCAAGCCCTCATTCAAGGGGAGATAATTTAGAAATAGTGAAAATTTGGTGGTATGTTTTAAAAATCTTCTTCTCAAGAACCACTGTGCCAGGAAAGATGAAACTTTTTGGGAAGCAGGTAGTGTAGATTCAAGTTTGTTCAAAAAATGACCCCTGGGGTAGGTTAGGGCCACAATGGCTGATCAAATTTTTGCATAGAAATATATAGAAAAATTGTTTAAAAAACTTCTTCTCAAGAATACATGTAGTTAAGCCATGATTAGTCACATTTATATGGAAGCATCCTCAGGTAGTGTAAATTCAAGTTTGTTAAAATCATGAACCCTGGGGGTAGGGTGGGGTCACAATGTAAGTTCAAATGTAAAGGGCAATAAAGCCACAGATAGTAAAAGAAATATGCAAGCATCCCTAGTAAGTGTAGATTCAAGTTTGTTCAAATCATACCCACTCCCCATTAAAGATTGATTGTGACCACTTTTGGGTTTTAACTTTTCAATAATAAACTGATTTCTGCGTTTTTAGCTCACCTGAGCCGAAGGCTCAAGTGAGCTTTTCTGATCAAAATTTGTCCGTTGTCTGTCGTTGTCGTTGTCGTCGTCGTAAACTTTTCACATTTTCATCTTCTTCTCAAGAACCACTGGGCCAATTTCAACCAAACTTGGCACAAAGTATCCTTGGGTAAAGGGGATTTAAGTTTGTTCAAATGAAGGGCCACGCCCTTTTCCAAGGGGAGATAATCATGAATTTATTAAAAATTAATGGCATTTTTAAAAAATCTTCTTCTCCAGAACCACTGGGCCAGGAAAGATGAAACTCATGTGGAAGCATCCTCGGATAGTGTAGATTCAAGTTTGTTCAAATCATGACCCCCGGGGCAAGGGTGGGGCCAAAATGGCCGACCCAAGTTTTACTCTAAAGGGATATATAGAGAAACCTTTTAAAATCTTCTTTTCAAGTACTTCATAGCTATGATTAGTGATATTTATATGGAATCATCCTCAGGTAGTGTAGATTCTAGTTTGTTCAAATGATGAACGCCTGGAAAGGGGGGGGGTTAAATTCAAGCCCGATGTGCTCAGGTGAGCGCTGTGGCCCCTGGGCCTCTTGTTTAGCTCATGTGAGCGATGTGGCTCATGGGCCTCTTGTTTTGTTCCCTTGCTATGTTTATTGGTATTAAGTAACCAAACTAAGCATGCTTGATGTATAATTATAATGAACAATGTGCCTCATTCAAATTGTGAATGTCAAGGCCTGTGGTTTAAAACATGGACCAAATTCAATGGTAAGAAAATTGTTGCTGGATGAGGCCCATGGGCCTCTTGTTTAAAAAGGGGGGCATAGTGCTTTCCACCTGTCTGCCCTTGGATCAGTATGTTGACAGAACAAGTATTGTCTGCATGCTCAATATCTATAAGAACTCTGTTTGACAGACATCAAATGTAATACACTCTTACCTCACTGAACAACTGATGATAACAATTATTAATTTTGAAATCGCAAGGTCAGAAGTCAAAGATAGAACTGCACAGAAGGAAGTATTGACTTCTAAAAAATGAACTCTTCATTTGATATTCATTAAACTAAGTATACTTATTTACATTGAGGAGTAGAAGGCTACTGTAAGGTTAATAAGTCCCAGGTTCAATTGGACATAAGATATTGACTTTTGCAAAACAGAAATCAAACTCGATACTGACTACACTGACTGATTTTCCTTAAGGAGCCGATGACTTTGTGCATTTCATGTTTTGAATTGTTTTCCATGTGTACATGCAGGAAAATTTTCCTAAAATATATTTTTATGTTTTTGTTATGTTTATGTGTATCTCATATGCTTTGTTGTTCCTTATTCTGCAATTGCAGTTAAATATCAAAATATGCATATAGAAATATTAACTTCTTTTTTATAAGACTTTATAACATCTTGATGAATATTATATTAATTTCTCATAACAGGTGGCCGAAGGGAAAATCTCTGTCTTGGAAGTATATTGCAGTTCATATCTGGTACGGATGAGGAACCTGTCCTTGGATTTAAAATCCAACCAAGTATCCGTTTTGTGGAAGTAGACCAGTCATATATCCCAACGGCTAATACATGCATAAACTGTCTTACTTTGCCCCGTGCAAGAGTTGGAACAGACTCAAATTTACCTGATGATCAAGAACTTTTCTCTCTGTACGACTATGCATTTTGCAACAATTTTTATGGGTTACAGTGAATATCTGTATACATGTAGAGAGTTTTTGGTTAGCTAAATAAAAAAAATATATGTGTGGTTCCGGCTACCCTTCTTTCCCTATTTCTCACCCCTGATCCTAATTTTTTTCTTTGGCAATTTCCAATTTATCACCAAAACTTTCTCCCTTTCCATTGGTTTCTGGTATTAGTTTGTGTTTCAGCCAGTCTAAAGACGAATAATGACCCCTACAGGAAAATGACCAGGGGGGGGGGGATTTTCATAACTATGGGAATCCACCAATGTTGACTAGTATATTATTCCCCGTCTAAATGCTACCTGGAAAGTAGTAATAGGTATTAAGAAGAAATTTTTTTAAAAAAATATCATTTCGTAAAAAAAATTCCTACCTACCTACCTGTTTTTTATTGATGGGTAACCGGAACCTCACCTATTTTTTTCATTTGGTCTAAGACTTTTTAACAATCTTAAAGTTATTCCTCATGGTTCCCATGTTGGTCAGGAATTTAGATTTGAATATTTACCAGATTTTATCTTGTGAGAAATATTTTTCACATTTTCATTTTTAGCTCTACTGGTCAGAGACGAGAAGAGCTTATGTGATAGTAATGTGTCCGTCAGTCTGTCTGTCTGTCTGTAAACAATTTTTCAAAATGCTACTCCTCCTAAAGTTTTGGTCTGATTTCAACATTACTTGGCACACAGGTAGACAACACTAAGATACATAATTCTGTGTATCGGTTTTTGAATTCGATGAACAATGTTGCCATGGTTACTAAAAATAGAAATTTCTTTAAAATTCTTTCAAAACGCTACTCCTTCTGGTCTAATTTCAATATAACTTGGCGCACAAGTAAACTACACTAAGATACATAATTCAGTTTTTGATTTCGATGAACAGTGTTGCCGTAGTTACTAAAAATAGAAATTTCTGTGAAATTCTTTTAAAATGTTACTCTTCCTACAATTTTGGTCTGATTTCAATATAACTTGGCACACAAGTAGACTACACTTAGAACTTAGAGAGACTTAATCAAGGATCATTATTCTATTTATTGCTGTTGTGAAGTTCCAATTCCCAAGTGCTTAAGTACTTTTCTCTCCCATTGCTATAAGTACAAACCAGTAGAGCTTCATTCTCAACAGAGACTTCTGGTTTTTATTTAAGGATAGCATTTTAACACCTCATATGCTAGCATTTTTTATGCATTTGTTGTAAGCTTTTCAATACTGAAGTGAGTTAAGCTTTTTTTCTTAGATTCAATGCTCAGGTGAGCAATGTGGCCTATGGGTATCTTGTATTTTGCTTCTAATTTTTTCTTATATCAGTTAATAGAAAGCCTATCAAAACTTTTAGGCTTTAAGCTATGTAACAATAACTTTGCATTTTAATACACAGTTATTAAAAGTGCAAGCTTTATGTTGGCATATGAGACTTGGAAAATATGTACATGCACTGTATTTGAATGCTTCAAGGAGATAGAGATTTTTTTTTCAAATGTCAAACAGATTATATTTGAGCTGCTAGTTTTATACTCTTATAAACAACATTTTCTTAGCACCTGTTGATGAATGAAAATAATGATACCCCCTGTAAATGAAGTTTAGGGGGGGGGGTATATTGGAATCACCATGTCCGTCTGTCTGTCTGTAGACGAGATTTTGTCCGGACCATTACTCAGAAACTATTGTAAGGATTTGTCTGAAAATTTATACACACATTATTCACCATATGAAGGTGTGCATCTGATATTTTCATTATGATTGGATGATTGTTTTGAATTTTACAGGTGTTTTTAGCTCACCTGAGCTGAAAGCTCAAGTGTGCTTTTCTGATCACATTTTGTCCGGCGTCCGTCCGTCTGTCTGTAAACTTTTCACATTTTCGACTTCTTCTCAAGAACAGCTTGGCCAATTTCAATCAAACTTGCCACAAAGTATCCTTGGGTGAAGGGGATTCAAGTTTGTTCAAATGAAGGGCCACACCCTCATTCAAGGGGAGATAATTGGGAATTAATGAAAATTTGGTGGCATCTTTTTAAAATCTTCTTCTCAAGAACCACTGTGCCAGGAAAGATGAAACTTATAAGGAAACATCTTCAGTTAGCATAGATTCAAGTTTGTTCAAATCATGACCCCCGGGAGTAGGGCGGGGTCAAAATGGCCGACCGAAGTTTTACATAGAAATGTATAGGAAAATTCTTTAAAAATCTTTTTCTGAAGAATGACAAAGCCATAATTCATCATACTTATATGAAAGCATTCTCAGGTAGTGTTAATTCAAGTTTATTCAAATCATGACCCCCGGGGTTAGGGCGGGGCCAAAATGGCCGACCAAAGTTTTACATAGAAATATATAGGAAAATTCTTTAAAAATCTTTTTCTCAAGAATGACAAAGCCATTATTCATCATATTTATATGGAAGCATGCTCAGGTAGTGTAGATTCAAGTTTGTTCAAATCATGACCCCTGGGGGTAGGGAGGGGCCAAAAACTTTACAATAAAAAGCCATTTCTCCTTTTTTCTACCCTTAGTGCTCAGGTGAGCGATGTGGCCCATGGGCCTTTTGTTTCATTCTTGTGCAGACCGTTTCTCACAAGCTATTGCAAGGATTTATCTGAAAAGAGGAAGAGCAACGTAGGGGCCGATTTCCCCTTTGAATTTCTTAAAAAAAATCAAAACTGATCAGTTTAGGTTGAGAACCTAGTATTTATCACTTAGGCTATTTGTGACTATGTATCTATAAATCATGACGTAATTTTCCCTCTCGTCAATGCATTATGACGTCACAAAATGCGTCACTTTCCCCATATCATGTAAATTTGCTTAAAAATAGCCAAAAATTGAAGCAATTTTTCCATTTTTCATATAGAGCACAACCTCTGATCCAAAATGTCCAACAACATTATGAAAGATCTATTTCTGAAGATTAAAAAACATGTTTTAATTTTTGGATCGTTGGCTGTGCTCATACTTTTATTCTTTGCTGAAGGTTGTCAAATATGCATGTTTTCTGCAAAATCAAAGAACACTGAATTTTCTCAAAACCTGTGTTGCATTACTTAGATTCTCAAAAGGAAATTTCAATATGGAAAATGAAGGCAATAAGTCTCTACTTTATTTTGATATATGAAATTGGAAAGAGGGTGAAAGTTTATTAATTGATAAAAGGACAGGGCCATTTTATGCATAAAGTGGCTCTACCTCTTTGTACACCTATTCACCATATGAAGGTGTGCACCTGGAATTTTAAACTTTATTTGTCCATTTTTCTGCATTTTACAGGTTTTATTTTTTATTTTAATTGACTTGTTCATTTTGGGCTCATGTATAAGGTTTTAGACATAGAATCTAGAATATCAGTTCAAATTGTGAACTACAGCTTAAAACAACTCATTAAAACTAAAAAAAGAAACATCATCAAGTGTTTAAAACAGTTTTTACATTACACAGAAGATAAAGTAAAATCATTTGTCTCTTGGGAATAATGACTGGACATGCATCCAGTTAAAGATAAATTAATGAGTTTGGTGTTGTAAGTTGTTCAGGCATATCTCTTATCAAGCGTGTGTGTTTTCTAATCTCCAGGGAATAAGGCACAAGAATTAAAGATCTCTCTTCTCTTATTCTCTTATTCGTAATTTATTGTCTGTCGAAGCACTTCATTACTGGATAACCAGCTCTTTATTTTCAAAATGAATTTGACATATCAAGATTAATTTGATTTTGTATGATTTTTTTTCAACAATCACTTTGCAGAGTGTCATGACACATAATTTCACTATTTTTCTTTAATGCAGAAATAACAAAAAATGTTACAAGGGAATTACAATGTACATTAGTATTGATGTTTCATTTGGTTGCACTTTTGTTTCATTTATAAAGAAACATAATGAGCAATTATATTTCACTGTAAATTTTTGTAAGTAAATAGTGAACACCTCCAGATCCACAAAGTAATTTTGAATTGAATTAAATTTGAATTGGCACCTTCTCTGAAAAACCCAGCGGGGTTATTTGTCCGTATTGGACAGTTCTAGTTGATTTTATAATATTTGTTGCAATACTAGTTTAATCAAATTGTACACCAAAAATAAAACATATATTGATTTGCTCCACTGCAGTTTTAAGTGGAGTATTCCTTGAAAGGGATTACTATTCTATAATCAATTTAAAATCGTCAAAACTGACTTTGAATTTTTCTTTGCTCTATATTTTTTCACAAATTGTTTTGATTGAATTTAAATAAAATATCTGAATGCTTGACTTATTTTATTTTATGACAAGGTATATTAAGTGTTTTTTTCACTTTTAAGTACAATATAGAGACTTGTTCAGCAAATAATTACATATTGTTTCTATTTATAATTTCCAATACTCGTAAATACATCTGAATCCCACTGTCAGTGTTAATCCATGTGCTGTTATTTGGGGTACTTTCATTTAACTCGATGCGACAATGGTCATTTACTACATGAGACAACACAGAATGAAGTACAGGTCTGGTGTCCTCTAACTCCAAATTCTCACTGGATTCTAGTGACCCTTCAACACCATACATCTCAATGTCCTCATCATCTAATCCAATGGCATTCTGCAATTCTCCTGAAATCCACATATTGATTGGGGAGGACTTCACTGTTCTGATCCTGTGATGTGCCCATGCTTCTCTCCATACTTTGAGTTTGTTGTTAATATGAGGGATGAATGTATACTGGAGAGCAGCGATATGACAGTCATTTAAAGGATCAAGGATTCCTTCATCCTCCATATGATAAAACAAATGGTAGTAGAAACACAAAACGCCAGTGTAAACATCCCTCCACAAACGCTCAATACGTTGGTTATGAACGCTTTTCCCCGTTATCATACTTCCACGACTAGTCCCTCTCTTTTGTATCATAAAGTCTGCAATGGCCACATTTTCCAAGCCTTTATCTGACCTTACTCTTAGGGGAATCCCAAATGAGTGGACTCCTTCCAAAAATACTTGAAGCAATGAATCGGCTTTGTTGTTGTCTAGACATTTTAAGAACATAATTAGACGACTGAAACCGTCTATCCCCCCAGCAATTATTAAATTCCATCTTATTAATTTATGATTCGTGTCAATGTGCCAAAGGTGATTTGGTCCTTGTACATTGTATACTCTCCTCTTGAGACAACCCTTTTTCCTCTCGCTTACACCTTGGTTATCGACACGATTTATGCTCTCCCTTAGTCTGTACCTTTGCACATGTGTACCTCTTCTCCTCAAAATCTGACCAAGGAAACTTTCACCACAAAATGGAAATTCTAAAATCAAATTTGCCACATAAATGTCAAGTTCATCATCCGTGCAGTCTGAGAATTTTAATTTGGAAATGTTAAATTGTTGCATTCTGCGATACAAAGTTCTTTCCGACACCGATAAAAGCTTTGCGATATCAGATATTAAAAAATCTTCCTCAATTAGATTTTGTATCAAGTCTTTTGGAATGTCAAATGCAGACGGTCCACAGATGCTGCTTACTTTGTTTGGTTTTTTTATGCCGTACCGCACACATTCATTTCTGAGTTTTACCATATCCCCTCTATCAGTTACACCCAACTCCCGTAGTTCTTGACTGGACAACAAACAAATGATATCAGGTGAAATCTTTTGCGTCAAGAAATTGTGTAAAACACCATTTAAGTCAAGTTTTTCAAGCACCATACCCATTTCAGAATTTGACATGATTTTTGATATATACCTCTGAACTGGAGATACTAATAAATAAAAAAATACATGTAGATGTACATCAATTTTTTTCCACTATATAACATGGTGTCATTACTTCATCACAAAGACACCGTTTGAAATGCAACACTGACCTTTTGACATAGTGAACCTTCCCTTTATTATATTGAACACACCATTGATTGTGTAAATCTGACCTTATTACAAAGCGCATTGACAAAATAACATAATAAACCGACCCTTTATTATACTGAACACACCATTTATTTTGTGCATTTCACCTTATAACAAGGTGTGGTGACCCTTTGATATACTGAATCAACCCTTTATTATACTGAACACACCATTTATTTTGTGCATTTCACCTTATAACAAGGTGTGGTGACCCTTTGATATACTGAATCAACCCTTTATTATACTGAACACACCATTTATTTTGTGCATTTCACCTTATAACAATGTGTGGTGACACTTTGATATACCGAACCAACCCTTTATTATACTTTACACACCATTTATTATGTACTGTTCACCTTATAACAAGGTGTGGAGACCATTTAAGACAAGGAAGCGACAATTTAATATAAGAATTGACCCTTTATTATATTGAACACACTATTTATTCCATGCATTTCACTTTATATCAATGAGTGTTGATCCTTTGATATACTGAACCAACCCTTTAATATACTGAACACACCATTTATTACACACGTTTCACCCTAAAACAAGTAGTGGTGACTTTTTAACAAAATAAACCGACTCAATATTATATTGAAGACACCATTTGCTATGTACGTTTCACACTTTGACAATGAATGGTAACCATTTAATATATTGAATCAACCCTTTATTATATTAAACGCACCATGTATCATGTGCCTCCCACCCTTTAAAAAGGAGTGGTGACCACTCAATATATTGAACCAACCCTTTATTATATTAAACGCACTATATAATTTCTACCTCCAACCCTTTAACAAGGTGTGGTGACCACTTAATATATTGAACCAACCCTTTATTATATTAAACACACTATATAATTTCTACCTCCAACCCTTTAACAAGGTGTGGTGACCACTAAATATATTGAATCAACCCTTTATTATATTGAACACACTATATATTATGTGTCTTTCACCCTTTAACAAGGTGTGGTGACCACTTAATATATTGAATCAACCCTTTATTATATTAAACACACGAAATATTATGTGCATTTCACCCTTTAACAAGGTGTGGTGACCACTTAATATATTGAATCAACCCTTTATTATATTAAACACACTATATAATATGTACCTCCAACCCTTTAACAAGGAGTGGTGACCACTTAATATATTGAATCAACCCTTTATTATATTAAACACACTAAATATTATGTGCCTTTCACCTTTTAACAAGGTGTGGTGACCACTTAATATATTAAATCAACCCTTTATTATATAGAAAACACCATGTAATATGATGTACCATATCTTAAGGCAGTCATGGCGTTCCATAGCCCAACACAGAAGAAGAAAACTTTATGGAGGGAGATTTGCCAAGTGATCAATACAGAAACGCAATCAACATTCACTAGCCAGGAAGTCGAAAGAAGATTCAAAACAATGCTTTCGTCGTACAGAAAGTACAAGGATGCCAAGAAAAGAACAGGCTCTGAGCGAAAGGAATACGTATTTGCCTCCGAAATGGATGATATTTTTGGAAATTCGCACTCTACAACCCCAGCTTTTGTTGTTGAAAGTAGTTCAACAAGCACCTCTACACCTACAACCCACAGGAGCAGAGCTAAAGAACCAAGTCCTAGTACAAGTAGTAGCAGTGAAAGTGTGACCAATACTGAATCAGAATCAAGTAAAGATAATGAAAAGCAGATTAATGAAGGGAAGGCAGGGAGAAGAAAAAAGAAACATCATCCCACAACAGGTGCATCTCAGTTGACAGATTTCTTAAAATGCTATACAGAGAAGCGGGAAGAAGAGGACAGAAAGAAAGAGGAAGAGGTGAAATGACGAACAGAAACCATGCACAAAGAGCACATGAAAATGCTCTCAGGGCTTACCAATATTATCGGCAAACTTGCAGATGTAGCTGCAGCTGCAAAGAAGTAGAAATACATATCTGTAATCAGAGGGACATTTTAAGTTGACAATGTCAATTATTTTACTCTTCATGTTTCAAAGTTTTTGTTTACACAATGGTGCAAATAACAAGATTTTGATATTACTTTATAATCAGTTTGAACTGTACTGAGTACATATTTCAAAGCAAAAAATGTAGGCATTGTACTTATCAGTTTGTCTGACCTTTGTTATTATTTATGCAACAAGGAATGTGTTACATACTTTTTATTTTTACATTATTTTGTTACTATTTTGTTACTTTTTCAAAGAAAATATAAATTGTTTTAAAACAATCTTAGTTATGCCAATTATTCTTTGTGACCTTGACCTCTGACTTAAAAAAATCTTAAAGTTGGCCTTTTTTCTCCCAGGCTTTGCATGTGAATTCTGAAAGACCAAGCATCAGTCATCCAGGAGAGTTGAAGGACAGTTAGACAATTATGTAGACAAATATATAACATCAAATATAGAATATTGAAAAAAATAATAAGAATTTCTGTCATTGGAATATTTATTGATACAAATTGACAAGGGCATAAATGTTTTCTGCAATATAACATATTTAAATCTTATATTTGCTTAACACATAGGAATATAATGATGCATGTGTACAAAAAAACTGCCAAAGTCATGGCTGGGCATTTGAAAGTTGTCTAGTTAGGAACAGCCGTTTCAAGTTACCTTCAGCAGTGTCTGTAGTAACTTCAGCAAAAACTTTTTCATCTACCACTGGGTGAAAAAAGTGGTTTCCCATCATGGGAAACTTTATGGAAACCACATGGAAACCTGAAGTTTACATCATGTTTCCCAGTGGTTTCCGCAGCGGATGCCAGGTTATTCCGCCAAGTTTCCGTGACACGGAAACCCCCTACGCTCCGATTCCATAAGGTATCCCGAACCACGGAAACCTCTGTAAACCTGAAGTTTCCCGAACATCCATGTAGTTTCCCGTAATGGGAAACCTAAAGATTCCACTGGTTTCCAGAATCAGGAAACTTGATGGAATCGGAGCGTAGGGGGTTTCCGTGGAATGGAAACTTGGTGGAATCTTTAGGTTTCCTTTTACAGGAAACTACATGGAAGCTCGGGAAACCTCACCATTCCTATAGTTTCCGTGACTCAGGAAACCATATGGAATCGGAGCGTAGTGGTTTCCGTGGGATGGAAACTTGGTGGAATCTTAAGGTTTCCTTTTTAAGGAAACCATGGAAGCTTGGGAAACCTCATGATTCCTAAAGTTTCTGTGACTCAGGAAACCACAGGGAATCGGAGTGTAGTGGTTTCCGTGGAATGGAAACTTGATGGAATCTTAAGGTTTCCTATTACGGGAAACTACATGGAACCTCGTGAAACCTTACGATTCCTAAAGTTTCCCTGACTCAGGAAACTATATGGAACTTGTGTAGCAGTTTCTGTGTGGCGGAAACTTGGTGGAATTATCTGGAGTCCCATTCCTGGTTGAAGTTACTGGGAAACTTCAAGATTCCCCAACTTTTCTTAAGGAAGCGATGTGAAATTATGTGTATTCTTTCAAAAATCTATCAAAAAAATTATTAAATGTAAGAGAAAAAAAGCATTACCATTTTATATGTTTAATAATTCATTTGATGTACAAAAACTGTAACAGTATTTTTCAATGATATCAAAATACTAAATAAATTCATATATCTTAGATAAACAATGGAACAGTCTTTCACATTTAAGTCCATTCATAAGCGTCATTAAGTACTTCTTTCAACATCAGTTCCCTGGTATTTCCTTCACATCACCTATGATCTGCAATATGCATACAAAATTATCATATGATGTGTCAGAATAATAATGCTTGATTATAACTTAGAAATCTGAAAGATCAGTCAATGTTCTTTAATATACCAATAACAATATCTTTCCATGACCATGATACATATGATTTCAGCATTTAATGTGTCTCTTTAAAATTTAATGCTTTATGATAAGGAAAATTTTTTTTACATAATATAAATAATGTTTTCAGCCTCATTATGTCATTGAGAATATATTACAATTTCATAGAACCCTGCTTTAAGTTGAATTAGTTTGAGAGAAAATATACTCTTTATAATAACAAAAATATTAAAAGAGAGAGAATTTTTTTTTATTTTTGATATTTGACCTAAAAAATTGGTTGAAGATCATTGCAGACCCTCCACACCAATTGCATAAAAGCTAGATTACACCAAGGGAGAAATATACTATGGACTACGACTTTGAATAAAGATATACAGTACATTTTGATACTGACCTTTGACCTAGAAAATTAGTCCAAGGTCACTCTTCATCCTCTATCCACAGGCTCTCTGTAGTTTAAGTTTGAGAGAGAAATATGCTCAGAACAAGTGATATCAGATGGCGTGATGGGTAGACACACTGTCTAAGGGCATCCACAGAACAGGTCTCTAAAAACAATGCAATATATATGTATTACAGTATGGATATACATGTACTTGTATGTTAATGATTTATCATATGCTGCATTGGACACATATGCTTTTATCATGGTGTAAGTATACATGTATCTTATGAGTAATTCTATGCCAGTATTGCATGTACACTCGGTTTATAAACAAGTAATTTAAATTTTTTTTTTTTACAAAAATTGACCAACATTATTTACATCCACTCATCATGTTCATGAATTGGTGGATCAAAATTCAGTCAGTTTTAGATCTCTATGATATACCATAGACAACTTTCACATTTACAAAAGTTATTCCCCTTTGCAGGGTCAATCTGGGGTCAATCGGCTTAAGACGCTGTTTTCCCTCTATATAACCGTACCAACTTTGAGGGTCAATATCTTGGAAGTGAAATCTGTATGAACATGTTCATTATGATTTTCATGTTACCCCATACTCTGGCCATACAGATACAGATTGTAATTGTCCAATTTCGTTTGAAGATTGAAAAAATACAAGTAACTTATAAAGGACAAAGTGAGAAAAATGAGCGATACACCGACAATTGGAGACAACTCTTAGCAATGTGAAATTTGTCTATTGGTGATGACAATTCCTGTTTTAATCTCACTGAAAAATTAAGAGACATTAAAAATTTAAGCCCTATTGTCATGCATGCATGCTCTTTTTTTAAGTATTTTCAACCAAACTATAAATTACAATTGCTTGTAATTGAAAGATGGATCCATTACACATTGCACCCCATTACTTTGAAAAAATGTAATGATTACAATGCATTACCATTACACATTACCATTACCCCAGGTCTGTTTTCAACCACATAACCTTTTACTATCATAAAATTTACCAAACTTTAATACTTCAAATAATTTCATTGAATACATGTATCTAAAAGATTGAGGAAACTCTAAAAACTTAGTGTCAGACTTACAGAAATTAATCTTTGGAGAGAAAAAAATCTATCATATAAAGATGTGCATAATGAGCCTTTTTTATTCATTTAGAACATATCATATGTGCATCATTTCCCCAAGAAATTTTCAAAGACAATGGACTATTTGTGAGCAGAAATCATTGCTGTTTACTTAATACATTTGGAAAATTTATGAAAATAATCAAATAATTTCTTTATTTTTGATTTTAGATAATGCTAAAAATAATTTAATCTCTTACAAGTAATCCAACTGACTGTAAAATAAAATTTTTCTTAATCTCAATCTAAGGGCAGATCACTCTAACTGCATAAAACTACCCAATATCAAAGTAGAGCTCTTTGGTGTGCAGTTTTTAGAGCTTCCTTAAAGTCATCAAAATACTGACCAGCAAGAAATCAGTTAATAACATTTTCTCTTTTTCATTCAAATTTTTTGAGAGATCTCAAAGTTTTTTCCTCTTCAATTCAGGTTCGATATGACAAAGTTTTACTGTAGTGTATGTATTAGAGAACTGATTGTATGTCAATCACGACAATACATACATAACATGGAGGGGGGCAAATTGTTTCAGCCGTAGCTTTTACATAAAACTTCTTGTAGCTCACAGCTGATAAACCACAGCTCAGTATTTAAAGTTTAGAATCATTTTTTTTTTTCAGGCAATTGTTATACATACCAATCATGATTTAATTACCACTTACCAAATGACCACATCCTGAATCATCATACATTTTATATGATTTTATCTCACTGGTTTTCTTTTAAAGTCATGCAGTTTTCTTCTCTCTGAAATGATAAATTATGTTAAGGTACTATTGCATTCTAATTTAAACTAATTATGTAATAGCATTAGCAACAAAAGGGATGGGCAAAAAAAACAAAACAAGATGCGCTTGTAAAACACTATGTGCCCGGCGGCAACAAAGTTTTGAAAAAGCAATTTTTTTAGCATATAGGTCACAGTCAAGATCACATAATCATTGTCCTTGTTGTCACGTGAAAGTACTTCATAAGTGGAGTATGTATACTAAATATGACGTCACTATCTCATATAGTTCTAAAGTTATGGTGAAGGTTTAAGTTGACAACAGACAGACACTGAGATAATCAGTTATGGCAAAGGTTCGAAAAAGCTATTTTAACATATAATTACAGTCAAAGTCACAAGGTCATTGACCTTGTTGCATTTCAAAGAACTTAATTATCGTAGTATGCATACCAAATATGAAGTCTCTGTCTCTCACAGTTCAAACGTCATGGCAATGTTCAAGTTGACAACAGACAGAAAGGACAAAATCAATACACGTGCCGAATCTATCAATTCAGGTGTATAAAAATTTCAAACATCAACTAGTTTGTACCATTCTACTTCTCCTATGTCAGGACAACCATCACTAATTCACTATTTCATACAAGTCTTTTTTTCAAAATATTTAATCTAATGCAATAGCTCACCAGCAGAATATGATATTGTGCTCGACTCATTGTTTGCCTGCACCACAGTTATGTAGAATGTGGCGTATGTTATAAACTTATAATTATATTCAGATATAAGAAGCATGTTATTTTTTATGACAGCTAAGTCTGTTCAGTTAGACAATACCATGTACACTGTACATGTATGTAAGTAGTTTAATTGTGCTTGATTATTTACTTATTTTCTTCTCAACTTAAAGCTGAACACAACTCGTAAATAGGCATACGCCATTTTCGATAGCATTATCTACGATACATCAATACTAGGGTATACTCGTTGCAATCGTTACACCTGACTGCTTTATTGTCATGGGTACTGGCATGGAATAGCAACCCGTGATCGTGCTGGTTATCTTGCATTACCTTTTTTTACATTTTATTGCAGTTACGTTTATCTGTGGTTTATATATATTTTACTGACTTATAAAACTATAATTGTTATAAACTTATTTGGTATCTTATTTTCCTGCATTAGATGAAGTATTACGTTATTACTCTCGCTACCGAGTTCTTCTGTATAGCATAATTGTCCGTCTTCACCAGTGTAGACTGATTACACTGAACAGTGACCAACTGCTGCCCTATTTATAGCGGTCTGCAGAGAAGATAGACTCGGGAACAAAAATGGCGGACAGATTCCTTTTACGAATCGTATTCAGCTTTAAAGTGTTCTGTATTTTATTACCAAGTTTGTAATAAGCATTTTGAAACATACTATCAATATTAATTCACTATGAAGGCTTAATTTTCTTTTTTTACATCTTCATCTCAGCAGATTAGACAGTACAAAAAAATCTTTTGAGCAGTAAACTATTTCAATAAACAAACCTATTCTCTTCAGAGAAGTGGACAGGCTTTCACCTACATTCACTTTTTTATGTATATTTTCCCTCCATATCATCATCATGCATATGATTAAGGGTTATGCTACAGTATTGGCTACAATCTATTCCAACTGTTCTGAATGATGATATCCTTCATGATAATCGGATAAGCTGAGATTGAAGACACTTTTTGTAAAAATATTGATGCTTTTATCAAGGTTTTGAACCAAAAGTATTTCATTCATACCTTGCCATCAGTCATAAGTTCCAAAAATCAAAAGAGTTGGCTATCCGAAAACGGAAAGTCAGAAGAAAACACATGCATGTATTCAAACCGGATGTACTACAGTCTGAATTTAACTACGAAACCATGCTCGGTATAACTATTATCATCCGGATAATTTGAGCGGGGTTAAAAATATATTTTTGTTTAAATCCGAAAAGTATTCATTTATATTTAGAGAGATAACATACATATTAATAAACATGGTGAAAGGCGAAACGTTGCCATTTTACAACATACGGTGCCTTGGGACCTCTATAATCTATTTAAGTTATGTTGTATCACTGTCTCAAATCTCTCTCTCTCTCTCTTGCAATATATGCACTTAACAATTTAAAACTTTTTAAAATGGCGTCAGAACAAAAGTTGCCTCTGATAGTAAAGATTTGTTGTTGCCAAATATTACAATTATTTGCCGTAAAAAGTTAACAAAAATATACGTACATTAATCCTTGGTCGTTGGTCATTGCATTTATCACAGTCTTAAAGACACTGGGTGGTGAAAACATCAACTTTTCACATTTACGAGCTGCTTACACCTTCTTCTTCGTCCTTCTCGATCCTCCAAAAATGGCGCCTCGGGAAATTGACCAATGAAATAAAGCGCCTGCAGAGCGATGCAGGATGGGAAAATAAACTGTTTACATTCACTATGATTATGAGTGATTATGAGATTTTATATTAGAATTTAGAAGTTTTCCCCTGTTCATGGAATAAAAAAAGGGGCTCCTATTAAAATATTTTTTGTCGATATGATGTGTAGGCCTAGTATATTTAGATAAAAAGCGGTTAAATACGTAAGAGCAGAGAAAAATTATGTTTCTTGCGTGACACCTCAACTTATTTGCCTTCGGGATGAGGGTTTCGGGGCTTGGTTGTTGGTAGTGGCCGTCCTAGCTGAAAGTACCCCACCCCCCCCTCCCCGCTACTTTTAACTGTTATAATTATGAATTTATAATGTCACATCAAAAGATGTTAAACCTTTAAACAGTGTTAAAAGTACATTTTTTTTAATTGCAAACGTTCCACAGGAATCCTTAAAGGCATGAAAATGAGTTACAATTATAATACATGTAAAATTAACAATAACCGTCCTTATATTTTTTTTTTTATTTCAATAGTGATGATTGAAAAGTTCGGTGTTTGATAATTAATTGCTTATAATTTTTTTTTTTGGGGGGGGGGTTAAAATACTACTAGAACTCCCTCCTTTTCTGGTTTTAATTAGATTTTGAACCTGCTATCAATATACTGTATTATTACTGGTGGACCTTCTAGACGTTTCTCTATTTGCTACATGTAGGCCTAAATTGTACTTGAAACTTCTTTGCCTTTAGCTAATAACTTTCCCACATCATTTTAACACGTAAAATTGTTAAATGAATTAGGATGTTGAAAATCTTTTTCTTAAGAGAGTTACATGTATCTCAAGATGGATTAAAACTTACATCTAATCAAAGGCAAGAAAATATAATAGTATTTTAATTCAGTATTTAGTCGTGATGGGTATAAGTGAGGTCATGGGAAAAATTATGTCAAAAGTCATCTAGATACTCGTTGATGTACAGGGCTGTACTTATGCATAATATACAGCTTTAGCTGGTCCCGCCCTGTATTTCTTTTATTGTTTTTTTTCGTTAAGAAATCTGGTAAGGTATGCTAGTAAAAAAAAAAAATCCCGGTAAGTTTATTACCCTAACGGAAATTACTTTCCTACAGGCCTGAAGTTCGAGTCTATTAGTCAAATTCAAGAATGTCACGCATCTTTTTTAAAAAGAGTAGCATGTCGGGGAATAAAAATAAAGTAAATGTACAATTTAGATAAAGAAAATTAATGTTTGCTGAAGTATTGACAAACTTCATACCTTTATATAATGAAATCAACAAAAACTGCACAAAAATACAATCGTGACAATTATACAATTAATTCTTTTAATAGATTGCCTCAAGTTAGCATCCACTACTTTAAAAGCCGTTGTTCTTCAGGAAAACAAAATGATGCAAAATATTATAGACTTTTCTTTATCTAGAGAAATGGCCTTTGGAGAAAAGAATGGCTGAAATTTTTAAAGTTTGTTAAATATATGTGCATGATCATATGTGCATTTAGGACCCTACATTGTAATTTTATGCGAAAAGTGCAGACGTTTACTACACGGGGATCTGCGTACATATAAACAAAAAAGGAAAAAAAAGTTTTATGTAATGAATATTATAACATTATTTAATAAATGCCTTTGTATAGTACGTTGGATTCCAAATTTCACACAAAAACTCATCAAGACTATTAAATACAGTGTTGATTTCACATTTATCTATTAAGTAATTCTGATTTAATATAATTATACACGACGAGAATTTAGAACTAATCAATACCTTTAGAAAATTATTTAATTTCTAAAGAGCATAGTTTTTTCAAATCAGTAATGAAAATTGAAATAAAAATTCTAAATAGTTCGTTCTTTCATTGAACATTTTAAAATAAATGTATGTTATTTTATAAATATGTTCTCTTTTATAACTTTATTTATGAAATATAAAATTTTTTAATTGATAAAAAAACACAAATCGTCATCTTAATTCAAACGAATTTTCGGTCGGAGGCTGTGTGTGTGTACATGCTTGACAACAGCCCATTGTTCCCTTTAGGTAGAAAACCGTCTCAATTCACATAGAATATACAAAAAATACACAGTGACAGGTGTCTTCGCGGCACGTGTCTCCACCTGATATGGCACGTGAGGACAGGTGTCCGTAGTTATTACACAGGCCGACTATAGTGATTTTTTCAAGTGTGGTTTTATTTTTTTTTTGAAGGGGGGGGGGGGGGGGCTTCTTTAGGAAAAAATGAAAAGCAATCCACCCACCCCCAAAATAATAATAATTTATTAAATTAAAAAAAACAATCTTACTAAAGTAAAATACTAGTATGATAATACTCAGCCCCCAACCAATTCGATGGATTTTATCTGACCAGTTTACATTTATCTCTATGTAACCATACTTACTCTTCTATATATATTTTTTTTTTAAAGGTCAGACGATACGTTTCCCATTAAGTATCTGTTTTGTGAATCTTCATATTAATGTATAATAAATTTGTATAAAAATCTTTATTACTTTCTAAACTGGTTTTTAATAATTTGAAACACTAAAAATGTAATTGTGACAAACCAACTGAAGAATTTTTTCCTGAAGGATTACCCCGGTATATAAGAGATGCCAACCTCTGGTATCTCACACAAAATGCCTTGTAAGGTACCTTGAGTTCTTGTGAATACATGTTATAATGTAAAAAAAGTAAGTCTTCAATGTCAAAATATTGGAAAAATTATAATTATATTATTGAGGAACGTCTCATCTGTCCTTAATCACTACATTTTATATAATCGCAACTTGACATATTTCTTTATTTACTTTTTTATCGATCTTTTTACCTTTCCTGTAAATAATATCATTAAAGGTGCCCTTCGCTCTTGCATTTTTTTTCAAAGGAACATTCAACATAGACAGCTTACAAGAAAGTGGGATCGGAAATGATTGATATCTACATAACTGCACTTAATTTTCTCTATTCCATTTCATGCATTCTATACGAGTTTACCAAAACTTATTTGATAAATTTTTAATATTAAATTGCGTTCACGGTGCTGAAATATTAAATTTTATCACGCAGAAATACACATCTAGTTATTTTAACTGTTTGAAGGGAAGTTAATTATTTTGATACAGCATGTAAACACTTTTGAAATATTTCTATAATTGGTAAGCATATGGTAACATCAGAAAATATTTAACTTTTTGTAAAATAGAAAGTAGGTGGGTTAGCATTGAGACATACTTTCAAAGTTTCTCTACCTGGGTAACATGGGGGAAACTACACATTGGTGGCTTCCATGTCGGGAATCTATATGGAAACCACTGAGGCATGTTTCCATGGTTTCCTATCTTGGGAAACTAACGGGAAACCACAGGTTGGTTGTTTCCATGTCGGGAATCTACATGGAAACCACCAGGGCATGTTTCCATGGTTTCCTATCTTGGGAAACTAACGGGAAACCACAGGTTGGTTGTTTCCATGTCAGGAATCTACATGGAAACCACCAGGGCATGTTTCCATGGTTTCCTATTTTGGAAACTTACGGGAAACCACAAATTGATTGTTTCCATGTCGGGAATCTATATGGAAACCACTATGTGGTTTCCATAAAATGGAAACTATATGGAAACTACTGATGTCACGATTCCCATATGTTTCCATCGGGTTTCCAAATTTGGGAAACCTGGCTTTTCATCCTGTGTACCTCTGTTTCAAAGTTTTCACCAAGCTCATCTTGATTGATGATACAAATATTATGCCACACATGCGGCAACAACAGTTTTCACAATGTATTCTATATCAACCATGTTAATGTGTTGCAAGCGCCTAAATCTTCCTTTTAATACACCAAAAGCATGTTCAGTGATTGCCCTGGCTCTGCAAAGTGTTTTGTTGAAAATCTTTTCAGCTGCTGTCATATTCTGACTTTCCCGGTATGGTTTCATCAAGTATGATGAGAGTGGGTATGCTCCATCTCCTACAAGAGGATGTGGTCCACATAGTGCCTGGTGTTGACAAACTTCAGAGTTCCTGAAGACCCTGGCATCATTGACACGCCCAGGCCATCCACAGTTAATATCTATAAATAGTCGGTCGTGTCGACAAACAGCTTGTAGGATAATTGAATGAAAACTTTTTCGATTCACGTAATCAGCCTCATTTTCACCTGGCGGTATTATGGATATGTGAGTTCCATCAATTGCTCCAATGGCTCCTGGAAACCCACTGAAATCCTCAAATTCTGACATAATTTCTTGTTTTTCTTCATTGTTTGGCCACTTTACAAATTTCTTGCACAAATCACTAAACACATCTGTGAGTCTTCTATTATGAAGTATCAATGTGGATTCTTGCACATCAAATCTATCCGAGATCGACCGAACAGTTTCCTGCGTACCTTAGTACCAATTTGAAAGCAGCATCATGAGGTCTTTTTCTAGAGTTGTTTGTAACCTTCCGCCTGTCTGCTGTCTTCTTTGTAGAGTTGGAAAATTTGCCAAATGATTCAAAATACATTCAAATGTCTCCCTTGATAATCTGAAATGTCTTTTAAACTGTTCAGGCAAATACCCTGGAATAATTCTTTCGACATAACCATCTATTTTGCTAATATCATCTCTTACTCTGCAAAAATAAGCATAAAACCCTTATAATAAATTGAAAATATATAATATTTTCATGACTAACTTTTTTAATAATACAATAATATTTTTTTCAGATGAATGTTCTTCAATATATATATTCTCCACTCTTAGTATTTAGGATTTAATTTAAAAAATTATTATAATAATCAGTGTACTTACACAGCTGAGCTTGCAACGCATGCAAGAAAAACAAAGTCATCTCTTCGCCTTTTAGACCTGACATTTAATGATTTAAGGGATTCAAGTTCTAAAATAGACACAACTGCAGTAATTGCAGAACACTGCAACTTATTACATTCAGCCATATCCTATACCCATCTGAACACTCGATTGAGACATATATCTTCCAACCCTTCTGACATTCCCTTCTGCTTCTAGAAGGGTCCCGATCGAGTGGGCCCCAAGCAAGAAGTTTGAAATGTGACGTCACAATCACAAGTCTTACGTAAGAGTAGGTCGTACGAAAATCTTAAGTGAAACTTAAATCGTAAATATTTTGTAGTGTATTTCATGTCATTTCTCAAAATAAGCATGAGAAAAATATAAAATATTATTGGAAGTTACTTTTACAAGTTCTATTTAATGTGTATTTTGATTTTTGTGGTTATATTTTAACATAAAAATCGGTTTGAAAATACTTAAGAGAGGGTTGGGGCTCTCGTAAAGTTACGAGGAATTTTGCACTTAGGACTTTCTTAAGAATTTTTGTGAAAACGACTTTTATCGTAAGTTTTCATTTAAGTTAAAGATATGTCGTAATATTTTTTGTGAAAAGGGCTACAGGTGTCAGAAATATCAGTTAATCCCGAAAATGGCCATTATTCTCTTTCAACAATTCAACAGCCTTAAGAACTTTACTTGGTCTTATATTCTCTCGATTCTCTAAAAAACAGAGCTTTTATATATTTTTTTCTTTTTAATTTAACTGGTATGATTCCAAATGCTATAGGTGTACGGAGAAGATGGGTACATGTACGTGTTTCGTCAACATCTGATGGAACATTGATTACAGATCTAGTTATATATTCGCTTTTGATTTCCTCGAGAGCAATCTTTTATCTTCATGAACGGTTTTCATTTTGCTAATTGTAAAGCTTAAAAAATAGGCTAAATTCTACTTTTGTTTCAAAATATGCCTGTGAGCACACGGCCGGTGTTACTGGTCGGCAGGGGATGCTCACTCCTCCATGGCACCTGATCCCACCTCTGATGTTTCGGAGGTCCGTGTTTGCTGTGCTCCCATTTTGTATTGTTTTATGGACCTTTGATCTTGAAAACGGTTCGTTTATCTCCATATGTTTTACACTATATTATGTTTTTTCATCTTAAATTTGTTTACAGTCTGAAACACAGCCAATCTAGTAAAGTGACAATTTGTCATTAATCAATATTCTAGAGCAAACATTTTATACGTATACGTATGGAAAAAGCAAAACTGGATCTTACATGTATAATGATTTTTTATTTAAATATTTGAGTCAAGGTTTTAAATGTTTGATAGTATTTATTTAAAACATTTTATTTATAGATTTGACCAATTATCAACGTATTTCGTACCTAAATAACAAGCACTTTTCTTTATTGACTAAAATGCTTACTACCAATTAATTTTAGAAATAGAAACTAAATTCTATGGACATGTATGTTATTCGTACATTGAGAATCGTGCTTCTCTATAAGGGTTACGGTGACCTTTGTGTATTTGATTTAAACTCTCCTTAACACTTCATTTCTGAAATAAAAGTCAAGTAATTTGGATGTAAATGTGAGTGAAATTCTTACATTAATAATTGTGTTTTTCTACAGAAGGGTTACGGTGACTTTCTTTACTTTGAAAATAGCAATTATTAGAAGGTCAAGGCTTGCTTGTTTGCGAAATATAGATTGAAAATTGACCCTTTATTTCTTTTTCGGATATCTTTAATATTGAAGACTTTAGAAAAATAAAATATTTTCAACTTTAAAAATCAGATAATTGAATTAAGTCAATACATGTTCGATATAAACGGAAAAAAAATACACGAATGTTATAATTCTCGTGAAATTATGAGCCAGACGTTATGGATGTGACTGCTTTTCGTATTATAGTGAGTACCATCCTTTTCTACAAGAGTTATAGTTTTGAAGTTATTCATGGGGAGAGATATGAAGGCCCCATTGTTTCTGTGATTCAAACAATCGGGCGACATCAATGTATAAACGAGTGCCTATCTCGACCTGCGCTTTGTAAAGGGGTAAACTACAAAAGAGAATATCTACTGTGTGAAATCGTGTCATCGTCAGAGAAAATAAATCCATCTGCAGAGTACGTCAGAATCGAACTTAATCAAGTAAGTAATTTATTGTTATTCTTTGATTTGAGAAAAAAATGAACAATATTTTTTACAGATGTATTGAATATATGTATGTAAAAAAAAAAAAAAAACATAATATGCAATATTTCTGTCAAATACCAAGGTGAACGATTTTGATTTCTATAAAATGTGTTTAAAAGCGTATAGTCTGTGGAGATAACGAACAGTACTCAAGTTCAAAAGTCCATAAAACAATACAAAACAAGAGCAGAGCAAACATGGACTTCCAAAACATCAGAGGTAGGATCACGTGCCATGGAGGAGTGAGCATCCACTGCCGACCGGTCACACCCTTCGTGTGCTCCTTGTCATGATTGGGAAATAAGGAAAAAAAACCTCGATAACTCAGGGTATAAATAATGGCCCAACAAATAAGTATGAAAAACGTCCGTCAGCATTTGACCTAATGATAAGTTGTATTTTCTGACAAGGTCAATGTATCGACAAGAGAACTTGGAATATGATGATTTAAAAGAGACTATTCATATTCTTCTTTCGTTAACTTGTTTGTCAATAATTTTAGTTGTAATTAGGAATTGTTCATATGCACATGTAAAGCATGCTCTTGCGTATCGAATCAACTGAAAGATTTAAACCCTTTGAGCAGGTGATGAAGGCATATTGCTGCATAAATAAGGGAAGTTGTCGATTGAAAAAATAAAATCATCCGTTAAGTATAGGATTTGAAACATCATGAAATGAAAATCATTGTGCTGTATGGATGAATACATAAAAAATGTTCACATAGCTATTTTTACAGTTATATACACTGTGCTGGCTGAAATGTCTATATCTTTTTAGGTGACCTATTGCTATCCGTTTTCGTCCGTCATCATGTTAACATTTCAGCTTCTTCTCTGAAACCACTGAACCTATTTCAACCAAATTTGGTATACAGAATCTATGGGTAAAGAGGAAAAACAATTGTGAATTTCATGGTCCCTGCCCCCTAGGGGTGGGGCCAAAACCACTAAAATTAATGCAATCATTAAAAATCTTGTTCTTTACTCCTGGACATCAAGCAGTCAAATGTTGGCATGAATGTAATGAATATTGAGTCCTCTACCAAAATTGTGAAATTCATGGCTCCAGGGACAGCTATAGGGTTCTAGTGCTAGGGCGGGTCTATATGGATTATATAGTGAAAATGCATTATTTCTTTGAAAATCTTCTTCTCTGCTCCTGGGTGTTAAATAAACAAAGTACATAGTTACGATGAGCAAGAGCGCCTCTTCCAGACTTGTGAATTGAATGGCCCCAGGGTCAGGGGTTCTGGTGTTAGGGCGGGGCTCTATTGATTATAAAGCGAAAATATATTAATTCTTTTATAATCATCTTCTATGCTTCTTGGTATTTAATAAACTAACTATGTACATAGTCATGATGAGCAAGATTGCCTCTTCCAAAATTGTAAAATTTTTGTGGCCCCAGACTCAGGGGTTCTGGTGTTAGGGCGGGGTCTATTGATTATTATATTGAAAATACATTAATTCTTTGAAAATCTTGCTCTCTGCTTCTGGGTATTAAATAAATTAACTAAGTATTTAGTTATAATGAGCAAGATTGCCTCAAACAAATTTTTGAATTTCAAGGACTCTGGGTCAGGGGTTTTGCCAATTGGTGTACGGGGGAGGGGCTCTTTTGATTATACAGTGAAATATATTAATTCTTTGAATCTACATCTGGGTATTAAGAAACTAGAGTAAGCATGCTAAGTGTATAATTATGATAAGCAATGGTGCCTCTTTCAAAAATTTGAATTTCATGGCCTGTGGTTAAAAACGCGAACCAAATTCAATTGTTGGAAAGTTGTTACATGATACTCTGGTGTCTTATAATGCCCGTAGGCCTCTTTTTTCACCTTCAGCGTCCCTAAAAAAATTATGAAATCGATTCACTACGAACACAGTGTATTTTGTTTTTAATACTGTACAAAAATTATCCAGAAAATAAAGATTTAATCATTAGATATAAAAAAGAATATTAAAACAGTTTTATTGTTCATTTTCTTTTATTGTATGTATGTAATACTTTCAGATGGGGGTTGGAAACCTTGACTGCTTGTCATGTTTACCCAATGAGAGATGTCTGACACTTTCAAGTAATATAACATACTGTGTTAAAGGTAGGGCATATTCTTTATGATCAGGCACGTAGCAATGGGGGGGGGGCTTCCCCCTTTTTTCCCAACATTACTTATACTATAGGAATGTTCATTGAAAGGCTTGTTGGCCCCCCAACTTTTTGTGATATAAGGTAAATGTAGTACTGTAGGTTAAAAAAAAAAGAAAGAGGTTGGCATAGAAAAAAAATGCGGGTCCCCTCCCCCTCCCCCACACACACACACCACGAAATAGGACTTTCGACTTTTTGGCAACTTTCTTCTTTTTTTGTAGCTTGTCAACTCAGATTAATAAAAAAAATTCCCTGGCTGACCCCCCTTTCAAAAACGATGCTACGTGGCTGATGATACATTATTTCTCAATGAAGCATTCCTTTAATTATTTTTTTTATTATCAATCATTATTACATTTTAGTAGTAAAATAGTTTAATGAATTCATTGAATAAAAAGGATATTCTAGCACAGTATTGAAAAGGGTATCAAAAATGTTATCCTTTGACAGTGTGACAAATATCAGAAGAGCGATAAAACTCTCGATTTTCTTTCCCCTAATATCTGTTATAATAAAGATTCCTTGATCTGTAAATGCTAACAGGAATTAATTGCTAAAGTTTCTCCCCACTTTCTTCCAAACATAACTTATTACTCTAGATAATGTTCAGTAAAGTTACGGTCCCCCCCCCTCCCAGCTATTTAACTTGCAGCATTGTCAAAAGAGTGATATCATAATATGAGGATAATGTAGGGTTTGATTTTAAAAATTCGGGTACTGAAAGAATTTGGATTCCCGTACCTCCACGAAATAGGATCCTCGCGTTTGGATCCCCCTTTTTTTCCTTGACCATGGGGGGGGGGGGGGGGTAGGTTGATTTTTCTTTCTCGTGCTTCCACTAATTTTCATTTAACTTCCATTTACAAGTATTTGACAAAAAATGTGAATTGATATTTTTTTCTTATTATTTTAGATAGTTATCCGAAAGATTGCAGGCAATTATCCTCGGAATTGTCTAGTGGGTTATATGGAATATTTATCCCAGTTCTCGGTCACGTGACTGCATTTTGTGAAATGGAAGTTGATGGAGGGGGCTGGACGGTAAAAGTAATATGTATTGAATAGTATTTTTAATTTATCAAATTGTATATTTAATTCCTCAAATTGTACTTTTATTTCATCAAATTGTACTTTCAATTCCTCAAGTTGTACTTTCAACTTATCAAAGTGTACTTTCAGTTTATCAAATTATACTTTCAATTTATTAAATTGTTCTTAAAATCCTATATTAATTTCAATTCAGCTTCTTATGCCTCTTGCAATATTAAGATTTTGAAACTGTCGATAAGTTGATTCGACTTATTGGTGCGTGTCTTTTCACAAATGTTTGAATTGTAGTTTATGACTCGTGTTCATCGAACGTTATTTTGTGCTGTTTATTCAAAGGTTTTTCAGCGTAGAATGGACGGAACTGAAGATTTTTACAGAACATGGGATGAATATAAAAATGGATTTGGAAACTTAACAGCCGAATTCTGGTTTGGTGGGTTTTTAATTACAAATTTGTTAAATGAGTTAATAAGACACTAAGAAAATTATTTTAAATGTATCAATCAGCTTTAGAATGAAATCCATAAAGTAGGCAGCGCTTTCTCAAGATTTTACAAAGGACTGTATTTTGTTTACTGAACTTAAAAATAAGTGAAAAAATCAATATTATTTTTATTTTAATACAAGTTATAATTTAACAGTGTGGAATAACATTTTCTAACATCAATTAGATATATTAAATTGTCATCTGTCATAATTTTATTTCAAGAATGAATCTTTTTTTATTTAAAAAAAATATATACAGAACTTAAATGCAAAACGCTGTTTCTTTCATTGAATGTAAAGAAGTCTAACAAATCTTACCCCTTTAAAAAATCGTTGATTTTGTCTAATAGTGATCATAAATACTTAAATTACAAACAACTTTATCATATTTGCACATTTTGACACCAAACTAAAAATTTTAAAAATGCAGCTCATATTGTTTAAAGGCAATGAGAAACTGTATCACTTACTGAGTCAGGGAACATACGAGCTACGGATGGACATGGGTGATTTCGATGATCAGACGCGCTTTGTGAAATACAGCAATATCTCTCTTGGGAATGAGACATCAAAATATCAAATATCTTTATCTGGGTTTTCAGGAAGTATAGGTAAAGTATTGTATTTATAAATAAATGATGTGTGATCGCATGTTGTCACTTCCTGGAGAGGGACGTTAAACAACAAATAGTTTGAAACAATTACAGTTTAACTTCTTTATCTTGAATAACGTTATGTCGAATACCTAGAATATGGCAGAACAATTTGGCGACAACAATTTAATTCATTCTTTTCTTTATTTTCCCCTGTACATTCTATACTATTTCTAAGTTTAATCCCGGTCCATTCTAATTCCCGATAGTGAGGTTTGACTTTATTTAGATATATATATATATATTAGGGATGTCAACGAGTACCCGGTTAACCGGGTACTCGATCGAACGTCCGAGTATCGAATACTAAAATCGGTACTCGGTTACTCGGATGTATATTTTTGAATATTTCAAATCTTATTTATTAAGGCATTAAACAATCTGTTTTAAAACGTAAAATGCTCATTGCACTTGTACATACAGTAATTAGGGTTTACTACGACTCTAAATGACCGTTATCGCCTGTGGCAGTGTTTATACAGTAATTATCGTGAAGAAGTATCTGCGGTACCTCAGCTTTTCTCACCTTCGGCTGCCTTCTTCCCTTGTTATTTTTTGTTTGGCTTTAATTAATTGTTTATTGAACATCGTTTAAGATCCATTATGTTTAAATAAATTAGATAATTCTCCGAGAAGCCGTATATTCTCGGGAAAAGAGCGGATGATATTACACGTGCGATTGTTGATATGGTTGTGTTTGATTACATGCCAATACAACTGGTTGAAGGCAAAGGCTTTAAAAAAAAACTGATGTCCATCGTTTCATCAAACTACAAAATACCGTCCCGTAATACTATATAAATCTCGGATCGAAAAAGTGTACTAAAATCGTAAATCCGCTGTGTTAGGAGAACTTGATCAAGTTCAAGTTGATACTGTACGTAGCTCTGACGACTGATACCTGGTCGTCAAACGCGACAAAGAGGTACATTACAATTACGGAGCAGATTATTTTTTTTAAACGAAAAAGTGTGGACAACTTATGATCTTATTTCTTGTGTTTATCTGATAAATGAATTGAATTTAAAAATTGTTATATTAAATTTCGTCGGGCACGAAGTGCTCATCATTATTACAACAGATAAGCCTCCTATCAGTGCATCTGGTTTTATTTCTACAAGAGTTTACAATGTTTTACAGTCTTCAATTTACTTGTTCATATTTATTTACACTTTTACCGAGTACCCGGGTACTCGATCGGAAAAACGTCCGAGTAACCGAGTACTGAAAATTGACCGATTTGACATCCCTAATATATATATATATATATATATATATATATATATATATATATATATATATATATATATAAAAATATATATAAAAAATCCTAATATATTTAAAGGTCTAAGTCAAATTTTTGAATTTTGATTTTCGGCTACTGAAAAGTAATTGAGTTAAATTTATAAGATATATATACGCTTCTTTAATACTATTAACCTCCGTTAAATTTCCTATCTTCTGCAAAGCTTAGATGCATTATATGCACACTATTGTAAATTTCATAAATCCCCTATCATTTTACAGTTTAAATACAATCAGTTGCTTTATTTTATATTTTCTAAAGGTGATTGCTTTACCGGAACTGGAAATCCAATAGATAATATGAAGTTTTCGACGCTGGATCAAGATAATGATAATAAAACTCTCGGTATCTGTGCAGTGTCGTTCACTTCCGGTTGGTGGCATAACAGATGCCATTGTGCAAACCCTAATGGTCTTTACTTGGCGGGAAACACGACCATATTTGCTAAGGGTATTACGTACGCCCCCTGGCGGACGCATTACTACTCAATGAAGACAGTACGATTGATGGTTAGAAGCCTGGTGTAAAAATTTTAACATGGAGACAGAGGAGAAATATTTAAATTCCTTAAGATCCCTTAAGCTTCTAATTGCTAATCTTGAAATTTTTTGCGTGGGGACATTTTAGCGAATTCAGCAATTAGAAACGTTTAGGGAATTTTAAAAAGATACCTAAAATGAAGCAACATTTTGTGTAAAATTCTGATCTTCTACGAAAATTAGACTCTCGCAAACGTTTTTTTCATGGAAATGATACTCCATAAAATTTCCATGCATACAGTTATATTCACGGAGTTCTGTACAATGAATATAATCACTGTGTTTCCTTTATACCGTCAGAAAAAGAACCAATTCATGAAGATACATTTGTTTTGTTTTATATTTTCTAAATTTATGAGAAATATATGTAATCAACTTTAACATAAAAATTGATTGATTGTATATTGTTTAACGTCCCTCTCGAGAATTTTTCACTCATATGGAGACGTCACCGATTGCCGGTGAAGGGCTTCAAATTTGGACCTTTACTCGGCACTCAGGGCCATTGAGCAGTGAGGGATCTTTATCGTGCCAACGCCTGCTGCTGACACGGGGCCTCAGTTTTTAAGGTCTCATCCGAAGGACCCGCAACTTTCACTTCAAAGTGCCGAGCGCATGGCGAAGGAACAGTTGCTACCAATTTTAACGACTAGGTCAGTCGCGGCCGAGATACGAACTCACGACCTCCCGATCACGGAGCGAGCGCTCTACCGACTGAGCTACCGTGAACGGTCTTAACATAAAGAAATCAATAGTCAAGGAATTGCTATCTTTTAAAAATTATTACAGAACATCTAATTTGCAGTGTTTAGGTACTGTAGTAACTTTTTCTGAAACATGTCATATATGCTGAATACATTCAACACATTTATTGTTTTGAACAAGAATATTTCAAAATTAAAAAACTAATGGTCGATATGCATTTTAAGATCTTGATCATTATTTGGTATGAAAGTTTGTTGGTTTTTTTTTTTTTTTTTTTTTTTTTTTAGCGACCGTTGAAAAATTTGGTCAAACGATAATGATATAAAAACTGCGACATTAAAGTCCGGTCACGATAGAGCCTGAACTTTAAGGTACCCTTTCAAAAAGACGTATATTAGAATTTCACCTAAATTTTGATGGGATTTTTTGTTCTGATCTCATGTCTTTCAAAAATTGATTATCCTTTGTTGCTTTAACCACGTAAGCTTTGTGGCAAGTTTGGTTGATATTGGCCCAGCAATTTTGGAGAAGATGTGATATGTTTAGATCATTGACAGACAACACTTGTGCATAAAATAGAGGGAAAATGCTGTATTCCTGCCTAAATTTCATTCATCGGACAGACTTTTTAAGTTTTACAAATTAATTCCTAAGTATTTCTGCCCATATTTAATAACTAGGTATTAATCTGATTAAACTCACTCTGTTTCCTTGCAAAGGAGGCAGTACAGCGGCAACCTCGGCATCATCACTTGAATCATCACTGCTTTCTAAAGCCTATAGAAATTAAATGAAAATATGTTTCAGTAAAATAAACAAACAAGACGGTTTTTGAAATATACAATGAGCAATATAATTTAAACATTGTTCATAAGCTTTTTTTTCAGTTTTCAATGCTACGGTAGAACGCATGAAAACATCAGACCTGTTTACTCTTACCATTTTGCCGTATTTTGTACGGATTTTTAGTCCAAATAACGTCTCATGTTTTGCTATTATGATAATACGTAAAACGGAAATACACATGTTTAGATTTTAACAGTTAGTTTTCGTTATGACCTGTCTCAGTTTCACCCTTTTTAATCGCTAAAAAGAGAAAGATTTCAAACACAGAAGTGATGTCCGATTGCCAAATCAGTTTATTTCAAGTTCATTTTAAAATGCTGTGGTATAAAATGACAAAGACCATGTTATTAAACAATGTTGTAGTAGTCAGAAACGCAGTTGTTCTCCATTATGAAAAACCAATGGAAAATAAAATCTAACTGGCAAATGCCAAATCTCAAGGACAATTCTAATAAAAAAAAAATACTGAGAGATAACGATAAGGGTAAACAGGTCTGAAACATGGATCTTTCAGTTTAGATATTCAGTCCTTAAATAATGATCATGGGATTTAAAGTTTCTATAGTACATATGTAGTTTATAAGACAACTATAACATTGTAGAACTTAAGATTGACATGATGATGTCAGGATTTTCCCACCAAAATCTAAGAAAATTAATATTTTTAATATATGTTTTTTCGAAACGGTACCTAAAAGTGCGGACTCTTTCGTGGCCGGACTTAAATGTCGCAGTGTTTCTAGTACGTAAAAGAGTGATTGTTGATTATTCAAATCTTTATTATGAAGGAGGGTAAGGCTTGAGTGACACTTAACAATTTAAACGTCTTAAATGATTGAAGAATTTTATAATTTTAATGCAGTAGGTCGAATTCAATTTTTTGCATGTTCAGAAATGTAATTTTTCAAATTTCGAAACAAGTTTTGAATTTTTAATTCTTACCCAAATGCAAAATTTGAACAAGATAATAATAATAATAATAATAACCAGAAAGATTGCTATTGCAAGCAATAGCTTATGTCGTCCCGAACTGGACAAGAATTTCATTTTTTGTCATCATTAAAACAAAACCCATTATAGCTAAGCTTGGATAAACATCAACTCGTATCAGTCCTTTCAGTACTTTGATTTAAAAATCAAAGTTAAAGAATATATTTTTTGCCCCTGTTTCCATGGAAACTATTGGCAATTTGCAATTTTTAAATCCAATGAGCACAATTACAGATACTAACCATTACAACAACAAAGTTTCATGAAGAATGTCCAAGGGACCAGAGAGAACACTCACGGGCAAAATTCGTCGCTTTTTGCAGGTTTCCATGGCAACAGTAGCCATTTTGAAACTGAATGACCACACAACACAATTTAAACCAGCGATTCTCCTTTGAGGAAAGTTTCAGGAAGATTGTCCTAGCTATCTCCGAGAAACAGCCTGTATAACAAAAACTTGCGTACAATCGCAATATGTCGTCCTTGACTTCGTTCAGGACGACATAACTCGAAAGTCTAGCGATAGCGTATGTCGCCCCGAACTGGACAAGACTTCCTCTTTTTCATTACTAAAAAAATACCCATTAGCTAAGCTTCGGCAACCATCAACTCGTATCAGTCCTATAAGTACTTAGATTTAAAAATCAAAGTTAAAGAATTTTCACTTTTCCCCTGTTTCCTTGGCTACTATTGAGAATTGGCAATTTTCAAATACAAGGCGCACAATGACAGATAGTAATCATTAAATCAATAAAGTTTCATGAATAATATTCAAGAGACCAGAGAGAACACTCTCGGACAAAATTCGTCGCTTTTTGCAGGTTTCCATGGCAACGGAAGACATTTTGAAGCTATAGTCCTGCAAAACTACAACCAGTGACAGTTTTTTGAGGAAAGTTTCGAAGCAGGTTTAAAATTTGATTTAATAATTTATTTTAAATTTTATATTTTAAGTACATGTTGTAAAATTCTAAAACCTCAATTTAAAGAAAAAAATATTTTTGGTTATTCAAACTTTTAATGTTAGATTAAAAATTATATTTTTTTATTTATTACGTGGTGAAAGATATGATTTAGAAGTCTGAAGTATTTCTTATTATAAAAATATGAAAAATGGATTTTGAATACTTAAATGTCTAAAATCTCGAAATTTTAAGACCTATTAGGAAATATGAAAGATGAGAGTTCTGAACGAAATAAAAAAAAGTATTTCAATAAAAAAATAAATTTGAAATTTAAAAACCTTTAATGTATTAAAATTCAGAAATTCTTCATCAGTTTAGAATTGATAAGTATAACAAGGGGCTATACATTGTATTTTAAGAAACAGGGGGCTATACATTGTATTTTAAGAAACAGAAGTCTTCCTGGTTTTGACTCCTTCAGTTTGCCCCACTTAACAATTCTGAATTTGTCAATGTCAGAGATGTTGTTACTGAACAACTTTCAGATAATCTCTTCTTAAAATATGGTGAGAAATTTCACCTTAATCACCTGTCAACTTATTGCCCTCTAGATGGCGACAAAAGTAAATAAGGTGACATTTTTAACCTTTCTGTTTTCAGTCGTATTTTATATGTACGAGAGCTGTTCGGAATGTTTGCGAATTAGCTTTATCTTATATCCAATGTGTAGAAATGCTTATCGATTAATGCAAAACAGATTTGTATTTAAAAACATCAAAGTTAGGAATTTAATTAAAGTAAAAAAATGGAAAAGAATTTGAAGAGAAATGCAAGAGGATATATAAAAGACAATAGAGATGACGCTGTAGAGAGCCAAAAGCCAAAAAGCCGCAGTTGTAATGTACGTAGGAAATCTCGTGAAAAAAATGAAGTAATAGAGGAAGCAGGAATTATGACCAAACACAAACTCACACACACACAAACACCCTCACACACACACAAGAGAACCTTGTTTATCAGAAATTTCTCTCCTTTTATCATGTTTGTATATAACTAGTACTAATTGTAACGGGAACCGTTACAGACGTTCCCCAAACGCTCCCCAACTCCCTTTTGGTGCCATATTCCCTGTAAACTTCATTAAATAAGACAAACTCTGTGCATTACGTTTTACCAAAAGGATACCAATTATATTCAAATTTTAGCATTGCACCCAAGCGCATATGAATGCATGTGCGTTATGACCATATCATCTTGTCTACACTATCTATATACTTTAATAACTATACATTAAAGCATTCAGTCCAAAAGTAATAAAAAATCACTCATTCAAGTGTATTTTCAATTATACTCGTTCCAAATGCACGCACGTGCGTGCACGTGCATGATGACCATACCTTCTTATAGGGGTCCCTTACATCTATCTATGTTCTAAATCCCATCCGGTTTGGTTGAAAAACAAGGGAGTTATAGCCATTTCAAGTTTCAGCCAATCAGATTGCAGCACACGTGCATGCGCGTGATTTCAAGATTTTTTTTCTACACCAT